CGCCTGGGCCCCCTGATTCCTAGAAGGGGAATTTGTTTACTGTATCCTGGCAATGTAATTGTACTTCAAATTAGAACCTGGCTCCAGAACAGTCTGGTACAGTGGAGGGAGTTAAATTTGAAGGCACTGGACTGGAGGCAGCAAAGTGAATGGTGGCTAGAGATTTGACTTAGAGTAAGAAAGACGGCTTCAAATCCTCCCTCAGACACTTACTAGCTGTGACCCTAGGACATCATTTTACCTCTTTCAGGCTGTTTTCTCTTCTGTAAAATGGGGAAAATGGCACATACTTCACAGAATTGTTGTCAGGATAAAAAAAGATACCATACATAAAGTACTTTTCAGACTTCAAAGAACTAAGTCAATATTATTTTTATTTGAATCCTAGACTTTGCTACTTGTTACCTATGAAACTTAAACACAACATTTCTTGGCCTCAGTTTAACCATTTGGAAAATGAAGGGACTAGATTTAACGGCCTCTGAGATCCTTTCTAACTCTGGGTCTCTGCTGCCATGAACATTTCTGAGCCTCCATTTCCTCGTCTCTAATGAGGGTGTTGACTTCGATGGTCTTAGAGGTCCCCGCTAGCTCCTGTGGCTTCTTCCAATTGTACCTATGACCAAAGGACAGAGAGTTTTTCTAAGGAGGAACACATTTTTTTTTTTGTTTTTGCAGGGTTGCAAATGCACAGCCCTACCTACAAAGTTGCAGACCCCACCTTGCCACCACTGGAACTTCAGGCAACAGATGCCTCTCCATACAGGTCACACTGTGTTTGGAACCTGCTGTCTTTTAAACTGTAACTGGCTTGTATGAGCCCTTCACAGAAAATTCACCAACTCCAGAAGGCAGCTGAGACAAAAAGGGCAGGTTTCACTGGTACTCTTAAGTGTAGCAATATTATTGCCTATCTATAGAACTATTGTTTCTGGCACCTCGCAGAGGCTCAGTGATGCTCGCTTGTTTCTGCTGCAGTTGGTGTCCATGGTGACACTAATAGGCAATACAGAGGTCCCCCCATCACTGAGGTCCTTCTGCTCTTGTCATGGAGGTGACCCCAAGTTCTCTGAGGCAGTGGTAACATAGGCCAGCACACTCTGTAGGGGGCCTACCAAGATAGAAAGGTTTTAAGTATGGGTCAGTGGCTTACTGTGGCTGTTCTCTGAGGACCTGCCTAGCTTAAGTTTGTATTTTAAAATTTTAATTTAATTATTAAAAATTCTGAACTTAAACATAAAGAGAACATTTCCATACACACAGAAGAGCATACATAAAAAGAAGATTCTGTGTGAAACCACAGAATCTAGCTAAGTTTGGAGAGGTTCATCAACAAAAAGTGATAACTAGACTTTTTTTGTTTGTTTGTTTCTTAACCACAGAAGTTCACAAAGACATCTGAGGTTTGTGTCAGGACAGTGAGGACCAACCTGTACTGATAGAATCTGGTCTTGAAGTCTTGAAGCCTATGGTCACTTTCATGACTTTCCATTGCCTTGGGCCTAGGTTAGATGAATACTCAGAAACCAAGGAAATCAGGGTCTCCAACAAACCTGGGCCCTCTGCCTCAGGAGCCCCTCTGCCTGTCTAGACCTAGCACTCAGCCTCCTACCTTCCTCCCCAATCTGGCCTGCTTTCCTCTCAGAGATGGACCTGAAGGCTCTTCTGGGAGGGTGGGGTTGCAGCAAACTCTTTTCTCTCTGGGAAATCATAGCCATAGAATAAAAAGCCTTGGGCTAGAATTTTTTTGGATCTCTAATGGGCCTTGTGGACCCATTTATTGTTCTCCAGGAAGCTTTTCCTTCCAGCCTCTGACCTCAGCTTCCTGATCCAGGCTTAGACTGATACATCACAGGTATGATACCCAGTCAGACCTAGTCATCTTGGCCAGCCCATCCATACCTTGGGTATCCTGTACCCTGGCCCTAATGGGCACCAGGAAAGGTGCTCTGGACGGGCAACCTCTTCTTTGCAAACTTGACGTCACTTTTCTTCTACTAGATCTGTTGCAAAATTTACTTTACCTGGTAAACCAACCTGAAAAAAAAATGGTACCCAAGTTGGCCTCACAGCCATTGTAAAACCTTGGAACTCTAATTTAAACGTTAAGTTTGAATGCCTTAATTTCTTTGCTGCAGAGTCAGAGAATTTCAGAGTTGGAAGGGTCCTCAGAAGCATCTATTCAAACCGTTATGTGAACAAAAATGCCTCCCAGGTATACGTATTAAGGGGTCATCCAGCCTTTGCTTGAGGAACTTCAGTGATAGGGAGCCTACTATCTCCTTAGACAGCTGCTGTACTTTGGGATAGTGTAAGTTGTTATATGACTCCTAAATTTGCTTCTTTGTAATTCCCCACCTACTCCCACCATTGCTTTCTTTCCTTTTCACCTTTGCTGTAATGACTCTCGTTCCTTTTACCTTAGAACCGCGGCGTCCAGACACTTAAGGACCTTGTTTCCTGGCATAGTGACCAGCAAGGGTTTCTTTTCCTCTGGAGCTTTTCAAAGGAACCGTCCTTTCTCTGACTCAATGTCCCTGTTCGGGCACCAAAATGTTGCTCGCAACCAGACTGTACACCAAACAGAGAGGTGTGAAATAAACTTGAGACATGGGCCAGGCAGAGCAGCATTACTGACTCAGTTTATTCATCTGAGGGTACAGGATATATAGAGAAAATCTAGCCTAACTTCAAAGAGTCCTCCCCATGAGATACTCCCCAGAACATCTGCTGAGGACGTGACAACATAAATTTCCTCGATATCAGGGTTCCTAGATTGGGTTGTAAATTCCAAGGTTTTCCCAGGTGCCTTGGTGCCACCTGCACAGAGGAGTGAATGTGTAAATCTAAGGTTCAAAGAGTGAGAAGGAATGTCTCAGGAACCTCCTAATCAGGAAGGAATTGGAGAGCCGTACCACTTAATCATTGAGCCCTTTCGGGTAAAAGCCTGGGCAGAGGTCAAACTCTGCCTTGGATCTTAAACCCTTATCAGACTCTTAAGATCGGCCCTCAACACTTTGCCTCCTCTCTCCCTTTTAATTCTCATTTCTTGGAATCCTTAGCTCCCGTCTAGACTCAGCTCAAGACGCCTTTCTTAACTTCTTCCATTGTGTGTATCCTTCCCCCCATCCTAAGCAGATAATCTGTGAGCATGCTATATCCCCCAATACAGATATTAGAAAAGTAACATGTGGAGAGAAACATAGAAAGTAAGAACCTTAAAGGATGGGATTGTCACTTTTATATTCGTATCCATAGCACTTAGCATTTTGCTGAAGAAAAGCTTGCTTGCTTATTTCTAGTTCTATTCTCTGGGGACAAGCAGAATTAGTCTAATCCCTATCCCACATGACACAATTTTAAGTATTTGAAATTCATCCTGTGATATCCCCTTCCCCTATGACATCCACTTAGTTGTCTTCTCTGTCAGGCCAATTCATCTCCAGCAGTTGGGTGCGGCAGGCCTCTGCCACCTTCCTGGCACAGCTCCTGGGAGTTTCAGGATACTGATGGGTACACTCAGGATGTAGAGATGTATGGGCAGGGCCATCTCCAGTCGTCCTGACCTGTATCTTGCCACCGGGCCCAGATGGCCCTGGAGGTGAAAGTGAGGTTGCTGACTCTGCACAACCCTCCCTCACTTAAATCCAATTCACTTGCATGTCATGGGAGATGTCACGGTCCTCTTTGAGAATGAAGGACAAACAACAGAGATGTATGGGATGGGATGAAGCCAAGATGGGATTCCCTTTGAGTATAAGAGTCTGGTGATCTGACATTTCTATCAGTTGGAGGCAGGGAGTTGAATCCTAAAAACCCAGAAGATTTTAAACCTGTAAGTTCTCCCAGGGGCAGGGATAGGGTTTGTTTTGTGCTCTATGCCCCCATTAGGTGCCTTTTAATGCCTAATGAATAAGTTTCAGTTGTAATGGGCTGCTCATTAGCCAGCGCATCTAGATCCAGGGCTTCAAAGCTCCCACTCCTGTGCTTCTGCTGAACCATTTTGCATCCAAGGCAGGACTACATGGCCCAGGCTGCAGAGTTGGGGAAATGGATGGAGACAGTGTTCCTTTTGTAATGCAATGTATGTTTAACACTTTTATTTGAGTAAGTATCACATGCGTGTCAGGGGTGATTGTATTGAGCAAATGACTGACATTCCTATTTTACTCCAGACCTTGACCCTTTACAATGAGTAAGGCTGGTTTCAAATCGTAAGGGCTTGATCTCTGTTCCCCCTCCCCCTCCCCCTTTCCCAGCTGCTAGTGCTTCCTCCCTCTCCCAACCACTCTGCTACTCAAAATCATTTCCTATTTACTTTGTACATATCTTGGAAATTATATTTGTTGGTGTAATGGACAGAGAATTGGCCTCAGGGTTAGGAAGACCTGTCTCTGATACCTATTGTGTGACCCTGGGCAAGTGACTTAACTTCCAAGTTATCTTGCAACAACTATAAATTATAGAGCAGGTATATGCCTGTATTGGTAGAGGGAGTTTCTTCACCATGAGTTCTCTACACCAATGAAACCACAGGTTTTCTGACCTTCCTGATCCCAAGTATTTGGCACATCACCCAACAGAAAGTAAGCTCCTTAAGGGCAGGGACTGCTCTTTGTCTTTACGTGTCCAGTGCCTAGCACACAGTACGTACTCTGTAAATACTTTCTGTTGATCATGATGATTGATTATTGTTAGTTAAATATGCTTAGTACTTTCAAAAAACCATATTTTTAAAAGGTGGTTCTCCCTGCCCCACTCAGTACATTCTTGTGTATGCAAGTAGATGAGGAGCTAACATCAAAGGCAGTGATTATGCCTTTAATATGTATTTTGGAGAAGAATGTCATCGTATCACTTTCCACACAAATCATCCCTGTCACTAAGCAGAGAAGAGTTATGCTTCCATTCCAGCAACCCCTGACAGTGATTAAAAAATGGGATCTCTTAGCCAATCCACCAGTCGCCAATCAGTGTAGAAAACATACGGACAATGAAGGTTATAGACTCAGAATAAATGTATTCGATGCATTATAAAGTAAAAATATAATCTGGAGGAAGGATATCAGATATAACAAAACCCTTAGTTCTATACACAGAAGCCTGTCCTGCAAGCACTCGTTATGGCATGGAGAGTATGGGAAGGTAAAGGGAATATCTTCTGATAAGGAATGTTCTGGAATTCCAGGTGGGAAAAGACCACGTGACATTGGAGGAGATGAAAGAAAACCCGCAGAATGTTTGTTCTCAAGGTCTCTCTGTCAGTGTTCCTGCTGTGCTTCTGTAAAGACATTTTGTAATGATCTCCTCGGTCCATAAGAAGATGGAGGGGAGAGGAGATAAGAAGGAGGTGGGAGAGAAAGAGGAGAGGAGTCTTGGTTCTCAGGATGGCTTTCCGATGCCTCTCAAACTTCATTGGTTTCAGATGACAGTATTTCCTTGTTAGAGCATCACCTTTCTGAACACCATAATGGATGGAGCTCAAGACATCATCCATAGGAAATGAGGCTAGAAGCTTGACTGGGGCCTCTGTGAATGAGGGACAACTTTGGGAAGTTCTTATTGGCATCCTGACTGCTGGGACAGATTTTGTTACAACAGACTCTGTTTGGAGTCTTTTATTGTGCCGAAATTTTGTTACACCCAGGATTACTAAAAAAATTTTTTTTACATTAGAAATCTTTTTGTTAGAAACTTTCATGTTGTAATGGTATTCGATGTTTTGTTTCTGAGTTACAATAGCTGTTTGGATTCAGATATACTTTTCCAGGCTCTGTTTCTGCTCTGAAATTTGTTGAAAGGAAGCTCTTGGTTGTGGTGAAAACTGTTCCTAAATTTGCACATGCAAAATTCCATCTCTTTGGATGGGATCTGTCCTCTTTCCAGCAAACATTCATGACAAGTTAACGCAGTCTGGATTTAGCTATCTTTAATAACAGATTTGTCACTGCCAAGATGACTGTCCATGTGGTATGGGATGGCCAGTTGTGATATGAATTAGCAGGGAGAACAGAAAACAAAGGTCTTTTTCTTTCCCAAGTCACAGAAATTCCTAATTTGCCATTTTAAGATAGCAACGAAGATATAGGCAGTATCTCCTCATGAGAAGCATCCTGGTTCATATACAAAAGGATATTATGATGGAGAAGAGGCTGGGGAATTTCTGAAGGGTGGGCTTGTTTTGCTGGAGTCTAGGAAGGTCCCTGGTCTTCTTCGTCTGCCTGAACACTGTGGTGTCTGTTCAGGCTGTGGACATGCTGTGTTAGTGCTACAGTTGTCGAGAGTTTCTGGTATTTGTTTTCTATTTTGCTGAGCAAAAATTACTCCCAGAGGGGAGTAATTGAAAAATCCAAGGAAACAGTAAATCAGGAAGAACTCCAAGACAGAGAAGCTTGGCAACTAACAGGTCTTTCCTCAAATTGCCTCCAAAGACTCCTCGCTCTTGTTTCATCTGTTAGGCAGGCAAACAGTTCGATCTTAAGTATTTCCCCTCCCTCCACTGCCAATGCCTTCCTGATATCGCACCCTCCCCCCCCCATACACTCCCAGGTGTCTCTGTGGTCTGATCACTTCTTTAATACTGATCTGAGAAGAAGGAGGCTTGGAGGACTGGGGGACTAGCTGCCTCTCCTGGAGGGGTCGAGCCGCCATCCTCAGAGGGTTCTGACAGGTCCCCATATTCACTGTTATAAAATGTCTGACCGGCAGTTGGAATCTGGTAGGACGGCCGGCATCTGCCTCTCAGGGCTAATCGCTCCCCTGTCTGATCCATGTTTCTGCCAGAGCCTTTACAGCTGCAAAAGAAAGAGAAGAGGAGCTTAGGACTTTCCTGATTGGTTCAGATTCATCTAAGCTTTTTGAACTCAAAGGGTAGGACACTAAAGTGAAGGCTGTGCCCTTGAAGAGAATGGTGGCACATGCCATTCAGCAGGAAATGAGCCTGTCTGGTTTCTCCAAACCATTCAGCATGGCTGCCAGCTTAGTTCGATCACATTCCTTAAAAATCTGCTCAGAAGAACCCTCAGCGTCTTCAGTGGCTCTCTACCGCATACAGGAAAATGTCCTAGCTCCTTTGCCTTCTTATCTCAGTGTGTCTTTTTTTTTTAATAGAAACTTTTTAGAAGGTACTACTATCTTATGTTTACATTACTTTAATTTTCTCACTATTACCTTCCCTGATCTCCTACCCAGAGTCATTCCTTGTAATAAAGAATAAAAGAGAAAGGGAGGAAAAAGTTCACAATACATCAACTGTTCATATGGTACACACAGTGTTCCGTACCCAGTGTTCCCCACCTCTGCAAAGAAGGGAGAGGATTGCATTTTCTCATCTTTCCTCTGCTGCCAAGCTTGGTCATTATAAGTACAAAGTGTCATTTCCCCCCTTTTTTCCTTTCTCTATTTGCATAGTTGCTATCATTGAATTTCATAGGATCTTAGATTTGGAACTAGACGGGATATTAAAGGCCAGTGAGTCCAAACCTTTCATTTTATCAATGAGGAAACAGGCCCAGAGAGGTTAAGTGACATGCTCAGCATCACACAGCTAGTGTCTGTTGTGCTGTGTTTTCATTTTTTTAAAACAGTATCACATACACAACAGATAAACAAATCTATTGTGTTGACCTAAGTTACAGGAAAAAAATAATGAAGACTCTGGAAACAATGAAACATACCTTCCCCCATATACCAGGGAGGTAGGGGCTACTAGGATAAAGTATTGGATATCTGCAGATGTTTTTGTTTACCTGTTTTTCTTTATCACAGGAGGAAGGATTTGATCTGCCCAGTGGGGAGTGATCATGATGAAAAGACAAAAAGCATGAATAAAACTTAATTTAAAAAAATTGCTGAGTTGAATTGAGTTAGCCTCTTTATACAGTCAGAGAGCGGACCCCCATGTTCAGTGAGAGAGGATCCTCTGTAGCTCAGACTTGGAAGTCTATCACTCATTATGATGTAGACAGAGAAGAATATATTCAGGGCTGGTGAACTGCAGTTACCTGAATCCACCTTCTTTTCTGTGTCTGTTTTCTATCCTCTCAAATTCTTCAGAGGCCAAGACCATTCCACTATCAGTTTGGTTTTCCTATAGAAAAAGAGGAAGCAAGCTTCATCCTTCTTATAGGTTTTGGTTTGTCTCCTCAAACAACTCTACACAGAAATACACGTGGGGAAGAAAAGCAAGGAATGTCCATCCCATGAAAGGATCAGGGAATCACAAATCCACAGCTGGAGGGGCCTCAGAGACTGTCTAGTTACAGAAGGGGAAACTGAAGCCCAGGTAGTTGTAGCGGCTTTCCCGAGGTCAAAGTAGTAATTATCAGAGGTGGTATCTAAACGCAGGGGCCTTGGGCTCCAGAGACAGCGTTCTTTCTACTTCTTGGGTCAGTCCGTCAGATAATCAGTCAGCAAGCGTCACAAAGTACTAAATAATCAGACACTGTGCTAAGATGCAAAGACAAAAGTCACAGGGCACTCTCAAATGACTCAACCTCAGAAATGGATATAGTTTTGTCAATGTAGACAGTATGAAAATGTATTACTATCTGCTTTGCTGCTGTACCTTAAGGACCACAGGACTTTTCCATCTGACTTGAGGCTGAAACCTTCTATATGTATTGTCCTCTTACTAGAAAGGGAGCTCCTAGAGAACTGGGTTGGTCTTGATTTTCTATTTGTATCCTCATCATTTAGCACAGCGCTCTGTACATAGTATGGACTGAATTAATGCTTTTTTTCTCCCTCTCTCCTCTTTCCCTCCCTTCCTCCTTTCCTTCCTCCCTTCCTCCTTTCCTTCCTCCCTTCCTCCTTTCCTTCCTTTCCTTCCTTCCTTCCTCCTTTCCTTCCTTCCTTCCTTCCTTCCTTCCTTCCTTCCTTCCTTCCTTCCTTCCTTCCTTCCTTCCTTCCTTCCTTCCTTCCTTCCTTTCTTCTTTCCTTTCCTGGACTATTGCAGAAGCCTGCTGGTCGGTCTTTCTGCTTCAAGTCTCTCTCCAGGATCAAATATAAAATATTCTATATGGCTTTTAAAGCCTTTCATAACTGGCCCCACCCTACCTTTCCAATCTTCTTCTACCTAATAATACATGAATTCTATGATTGAATGACTCTGGCCTTCTAGCTATTCCTCACACAATCCAAGCTACATTTCCCAACCTGGGGCATCTTCTCTGGATGTCATGGATGCCTGGAACACTCTCCCTCTTCATTTCTGCCTCTCAGCTTCCCTGGTATCTGTCAGGTCTCAGCTAAACTCTCACTTTTTTTTTTTTTGGCTAGGCAATGGGGTTAAGTGATTTGCCCAAGGTCACACAGCTAGTAAGCATTATGTGTCAATCTGAGGCCGGATTTGAACTCGGATCCTCCTGAATCCAGGGCCAGTGCTCCATCCACTATGCCACCTAGCTGTCCCTCTCACCTTCTATACCTTCTTAAAGCTAGTGCCCTCCCTCCCTCCCTCCCCTGAGATTCACTCCAAATTTTCCCGTCTATAGATCGTCTGTAGCTGTTTGAATGCTGTTTCTCGTTAGACTGTGAGCTCCTTGAGGGCAGGGGCTGTCTTTTACCTTTCTTTGTATCCCCAGCACTTAACACAACGCCTGGCACATAGCAGGTGTTTAATGAATACTTGTTAACTTGATGCAGAAAGCTCTACCAAATCCCAGGTTCCAGGATAGTCTGGTGGTAACACAAGGGAGGAAGGGAGCTATTCAAAGGCTTAGGACTCACCCCACAAATGTATCCAAATGAAGGCTTTTTCTGAGACAGCCAGAGATATTTTCTGTCATAACAGCCCACATCTCTTTCCTCACAATCACTCCATGAATTAGGTAGACAGGTATTATCTCTCCATAGTACAGAGGAAATGACTTGTCCCTAGCTAATAAGCATTAGCAGACTCCAACCCAGGTCTTCTGATGCGAAGGGCTGGGCCAGCTCCAACTACATTCTCTGCCTTTCCCCTCTCCATTGTCTTTATTTGTTAATACAGAAATGTCTCTTTATCTTCCCTTTCCCCCTACTTTAAGAAGGTCATTAGTCTATGGATATAATTCATTGTGGTAGAAGAAAATGGCTTTCCAAGACTGAATTCTGATCTGAGTGAGCCACTATACTCCATCCTGGGATGGTCTGGAATGATCATTTGAACTAAAGGCATCCTTGAGAAATAAAGATTAGGACTTAGTCACTACTGGACTCCATTCATGGGGTCAGAATAAGATACCCTTTCTGCAGGATGAGAGTTGGAAGAGAAGGCCACAGGGACAGGCTGAAAGACTGTTGTTTCCAGGGGATGCTCTTCTGGGGCTCAGAATACTCCAGAGAGACTAAGACAGAGCTGGTGGTGTTGACCTTGTAATCCCTGACCTCCACAGCAGGAGGGGGTGCAGGCCTTTTGTAAATAGAAACCACTCCGTATAGCAGGTGTGGGAAATCTGTTGGCAGTTACTCTTTCCTTACTGCTATTTGGGACTTCAATCTTTATTTCCAAATTCTGAGGCACTTGTTCACTGAGAAAGGCCTTATCTCTATTTTCCTGACCTTTCATAAATCTAAAGCCCAATTTCTCTTCCCTCTGCCTCCACTTACCGGATGTGCTTTAGAAGATGTATGAGTCATGGGAAATTCTTCAAAGGTTTTTATTCTGGATGGACACCTGATTTGATTCCCTCCAGTCAAACAACTCGGAAATGATACACAGTTATAGTATCTATTTAAAACAAAAATACATTCTCTTAGGCTGAAGACATTATTGGAAAACCCAAGCTGACCACAATACTAAATGCCCTAAACCCCCTAAAAGCCCCCGTTTTGTTCCCTGACCATGTGTGGGTAAGCCCCTGGCAGCTGAAGAGTTGTACAGCTGGAGGAGGACAAGGGGGGCCAGCAGCCCAGAGAGGAATAATAGGGGAATACCTTCCGTGGGGTCACTTTTCCATCCTTACAGTAGAAGGCAGAGCATTTTTGCTCCTGGAATAATTTCTTAAGCAAACAAATAGTGTTCACTGTTCTGGTAGGCAGGAAGACTGAAGGATGAAGGATGGATGGTGATCTCTTTGGTGGACTTGGAGATGTCTGTGTTGGACTATGGTGGGATTTTAAAGATGGAATGTACCTTAGAGGTCATCTAACCCACCTATTAATTTTATATATGAAGATGAACATTTCTTGAGAAGGTTTTCAAGGGGGGTCTTATTCAAATTTGGGTTGAATTAGACGATCTTTGAGGCCTCTTCCAACTCTAAGATCCTATGATTCTGACCCTGTAACTTGTCTAAGGTTGTAGAGATAACAAGCAGCACAGGTAGGATTCTAACCTATGTCTACTGTCTCCAAAGCCCAGTGCTTAGCACAGTGCCTGGTATACAACAGGAACTTAAAAAATGCTTGTCAACTGACTATTGTTTCCAGGGGGTCCCAGTGAGCAGAAAATAAAAAATAGTGCCCAAACTCCAAATATTCCTTTCCATTCACTGACTACGCCCTTGGAGCTAGAAGCAATCAGGCCTTTTCAAAGCCCAGAAGTTGTCGTCATTGTCTGGGATTTTATTACAACATAAACTGCCTATTTTCAGACTGTTGTTGCACCTCACCCCATCCTATCCCCTCATCCCTAGAGAGAGAACTGACCTTGCTGCTAAACTGTGGCAGTGGAGTCTCAGGTCATATTCTTCTGCATCCAAACCGTGATGAGCGGCAGAAGGCCCCTGAGAGAAGCCGTCATCCTCTGAGCTCTGAGAGTCGTTCAGGGGGATGTAGTCCTTTCCCTCCTGAAGAGAAAGCATTGGGTTATGTCAAAGATGTGGAACGTCTGATGCTAAGCACGTTGTCTGTCCTGATCTACAGGCCTGCAGCTGAGGTGTAAAGCAAATGAAAGTCCTAGGCCAATACTGTGGAAGGACCCTTAAGAAGTCATCTAATGTAGGGCTTTCTCAATGCCTGGGAGCTACTAAAACATCCTCTTTGCTTCCTTTCTGCTTTTGGTCTAATTGTCTAGTACCTTCTGGTGGTATCACATTGTCAGGGGTTGTTTTATTTTGGTCTTTGTAACTCCAGTACCTAGCACAGCACTCTGTCTCAAGCAGGGGCTTAATACATGCTTGTCGATTGACTTCTGCAATGAGAACTTTCATCTATTTAGTACCAAAGCAAATGCTAAGGCTACTTAAATTCATGAGCAAGGGACAGACAGCTTGTATCAGAAAAGGAGAGAGAAAAGGAAAAGCATTTAATGTGATCCCTATACCTAAAAAAAAAGAGCTATTTCCCTTTCTAGATAAAGGCAGATTACTGGCCATCTCTCTATAGGCGATATACAAGTAAAAACATTCATCGATATGCATGAACATATCTACATGCACATCCACACAATCACCTAAATATATACTAAGCCACTTATATAACATGCACACAGATGCACACTGATTAGCAAGTATATTCACATCAACATGTATACCCTACAAACACACAAGAGACACAGACACATGTATATGTGCATGTGTATAACACACGTATACACACGTCCATCGATGAGCGCATGCATTCATATCAACACGCACACCCACACATGGATAGACCAAAGATACACAATTTCTTCTTTTCTCTGATAAAGTGGAAAGAAGTAGTATGTGTTAGGTGAAAAAGGGCTTCATCTCTGAAAGGCAGGCAGGACCCAGCAGGTCCAGGTATGGAGAAACATACGGATTCACCTGTTGTACATTTTCCTGAAGCAGATCTCCCAGGATCTCCACCAGGTCAGAGAATGCCGGTCTCTCCTTGGGGTCTCCTGACCAGCAACTCAGCATTATGTGGCGGCTGTTAAAGGGAAACCACACATGGTTTTTTTCCCACGTTTCTTTCCCTTGTCTCAGTATGTGGTTAAACAGTGGCCTAATTCTCCAGAAAGATAGGGATAAGCTTTGGGGTGGAGGTGGGAAACTCACATTTCTGCTGTGGCGTATTCTGGAGCTCTCATCCGCGTGCCATCCTTCAGCCTTTGGCAGAATTCTTCATTGATGTGCACACCAGGGTAGGGAGAGGCCCCTAGGTGGCCACACACAAGGGTGGTTGAGAATAGGAAGAGCAGTCAAGACACAAGAATATACTAGAGGGTTCCCCTCTAGGCCAGTGGGCAGTAAGTGGCTTTCTTTTCCTGTGTGGGGCTTGCTGCCACTCCCCTTCCTCCCTGCCATCCGACTCCTCCCATCCCACACCATGGTGCTTCTGCCTCCCAAGCAGCTCTGAGGTGCCAAGAGAACTCAGACCCACCTCACTAACTTGGACTAACAAGGGACAGGACAGAGAAGTCTGAATTGTAATATAGTCTAAAAACACAGCTCATAGTTTCTACCTTTCCTGATGATTTCAAACCAGGCTGCCAAAATTCATTCATTTAGACAGTGACCCCAAAAGGCCCTTGGGGAGATGCTCTAATCGTGAGACTGTTTCATTACTACAGCCTTATTAGTTTTATGTAAATGAAGGCCTGGTCATGTATGAAGATAGTTTGAACCTTAAATATTTAAAAATTTTCCTTGTAACCTTGTTCATCAGAGACTCAATAGATTTAGGGCTGGAAATGACTCTGGAGGTCATCTATTCCAACTTCCTTGTTTTAGAGTTGAGGAAACTGAGGTCCCAAGAGGTTAAGTGTCTTGCCCTACATCACACAGCTAGTAGGTGGCAGAGTCTGGGATTCAAATGCTGCTTAAATGTTGGCTTCACATCCAGAGCTATCTGTATTTTGTCATGCGGTCTTCCAATAATTCTTTTAGTTTTTCCTCCCTGTCTTATAGAGGAAAAAGGGCTGGGCTGAGACTTAGGGTCTAGTCATAGGATCATAGGTTTATAACTGGCAGGATTGTAGAATCATAGATGGAGACCCAGGAGAGACCTTAGGGTCACCTTGTCCATCCAGACTACTCACCTTACAGAAGAAGAAACTGAGACCCAGAGAAGTAGATAAAATGATTTGCCCAAGGTCACAATGCTTTTTCCACCGCACCACATGTGACCCAGTTTTTGCTAACATGAGATGAGACATTGGGCCAAATGTTTCCCCTCCCTCTGCCTTTGTTTCTTCCTTTGTAAAATGAAGGGCTTGGACTAGGTGATCTGTGGGGTCTCTCCCAGTTTTAACATTCTACCTTCCATGTTCTCTTAATGATGGAAGGGTTGATACTAAGGCCCGGGCCACATTCCATGACTCCTCTGAATTCATGAGGTTTAGCTACATTTGCCTTAAGTTTGCTCTAGGTCTCTTACTGTGTGACCCTGGACAAGGGTCCCTCTTCCACCTCAGTTTTCTCATCTGTAAAATGGGGATAATAATAGCATTTATGTCTCAGGGTTGTTGTGAGGATTAAATGAGATAACCCATGTAAAGTACTTAATAAATCTTAAAACTCTCTAGAAATGCTAGCTATTATTATTAAAGGCTCAGGCCTGTGGCCACACAATCCACAGGACTGTAGTCTGAATGAATGAGATTTAGCCATATTCTCCTTATCCTGCCTCTTGGCCTCTTCCTTTGGGAATCTGGGTACTTAGCCGGCCTTTAGTACTTACCTAAAGAGAAGATCTCCCAGAGCAAGACTCCAAAGGACCAGACGTCACTTTGGGTGGTATAGACCTTGTCAAAGATGCTTTCTGGTGCCATCCACTTTAGAGGGAGCCGGGCCTGTGATATAAAAGGGACGCTCAAAAAGGAGCAGAGGGGAGGGGCACGTTGCTCTCTTCTGACTGGTGATGCAAAGGTGAGGAGTGGGATGTTCTCCACATCTCTCACTATGTACCCATCTCTCTACCACTCTAGTTCCAGTCCCTTATCACCTCTCCCCTTGGCTACAAAAGCCTCTTGCCCTCCATCTCTCAAGACCGTCCCTTCTCCATCGCACCACACAGCTGTCCAAACTACCCAAAGCATGGCTCTGATCGTATTGCCCCTATCTCCTCTCTCCCTCTACTCTCATAAACTCAAGTGATCCCTCTATTACCACTAGTATCAAATATAAGCTCTTCTGTTTGGCGTTAAAAGTCTTCACGGCCCTATCTTACCTCTTCAACCTTGTTACATAATACTCCTCTGTGTGAACTCTACGGTGTAGCCAAACTGACTGACTTTCTCACGCACAGCACTTAACTTCCCAACTCTGTGCTTTTGCATTGGCTCTCCCCATACCTGGGATGCTTTTCCTCCTCACCTCTGCCTCTTGAAATACACCAATCCACTTCAAATCCTCCAAGTCTCAAGCACTCCCCTGTACACGAAGGCTTTCTGGTCCCTCAGCTTCTGGTGCCTTCCACCCAGAAGGTTACTCTGTATTTGTTCTTCATGTGTTTTGTATATATTTATCTATATGTAGATATGTAATATATATCTGTTTGCAGGCATCTATAAATAGGCATCTATATATGGACATCTATCTATATATAGGCACATAATGGACATCCATTCAAGTGTCAGCTCCTTGAGGGCAGAGACTGTTTCATGTGGATTTTTGTGTCTTCAGCGCCTAGCACAGAGCCTGGCAAATGGTGGGCACTTACTAAATGCTAGTTGATGGACTGATTCTAGTTGAAAACCAGGCTTATTGTATAGTGAGCCTATATAGCCTCTTCCAGGAGGAGCCTGCCTCCTCCTTTGCCCTTGGGGACACTACTATTCACACTGTTATCAGGACTGCTCCTTTCCCGCAAAGGGCTGGCAGTGCTCCTGGCCAAGTACAGAGGTGCGATGTGCCCCGACCTTCTCCCACTTTTGTCCTTCAGGGGCATCATGCCTTGGTGCGTCCCCAATTTTTGTGTACCCTCCAGGCTTGTTGCAAAGCCTGACATTATCCCCGGGTATGTTGGTCACCAAGCTTCACACTCACACTGCCCTTCCTGACATAATCAGGGTCTTTATAGATGTCCCGGGCCAGTCCAAAGTCACAGATCTTCACCACATTGTTCTCTGACAACAAGATGTTTCGTGCGGCCAAGTCTCTGTGAATGCACTGGGGAAGAAAAGGAGTGGGAAATCAGACTCCGGCCAGTGATGGTGGGTGGGGTTAGTCATTGCCAGCTCAGGGCACAGAGGAAGCTGGCAGACAGAGCTCGGGGGATTTTTATGTTTGGGAGCCCATACACCAAATATCTGAGTCCATTAAGTGTCTTCCCAGAATTTAAGGGCCATTGAACCCATGACCAAACCAACTTTCAACATAGCTCAGGCTATGTACATACGCACTTATAAAAGTCTGTCATCCTTTTCATGCATCGAAAATATTCTGTGACATCGGGAAAAATGTAGATGGTGGTGGGATAGAGAGAGAAAGAGAAGGAGAGAAGAGAGGAGAGGAGAGGGGGTGGTGTTCCATGGAAACATTGCTATAAACGGGTGATCAGCTGGGTTTTATAATATTTTAGTAGGGTTCAATGTTAAAGTATATCACATGGTTATAGTTTGCCAGTGATGTTATTGCAAAAGGACATGAGTTTAGGCAATGCTATACAGGATGTGCCGGGTTGGGCTTTTGGCTGGCTAGCCAATTGTGCACTGGGGATAATGATGTCGTACTCAGCTTGGTGTACTTCACAGTGCCTGGCATCTGACTTTACTGCCCTTTCTCACTTGTGCCCGACAGCAAACCAGGGGACTGTGTGGAATTCAAGCCAATCAATGACTACTTATTAGCCCATCTGGCCAAAGGCTAGCTTACGGAAGAGAACGAAGTTAACATCTAAACTGCTGGTTTTGGATCATTTCTGATTTTGGCTTATTGGTGTCACCTTAATTAGTTTGGGGAATGAAAGTCAACTGCTTTAACAGTTTGTAGCCAGAGCTGCTTCCTGAGGTCCTCTGGCAATGACTTTCTATTTCCTAATAAAAAGCTGAATGTTTCTCCAGGAGGAGGTGGCACAGTAGATAAAGTGCTGGACTTGGAATCAGAAGACCTGACTTCAAATATGACCTCGGACACTGGTTGTGTGACCCCGGGCAAATCACTTAATCTCTTTACCTCAGTTTCCTCACCTGTAAAATGGGAATAACAATACCACCTACTTCTCAGGGTTGCTGTGAGGAGTAAATGAGATAATAATTGTAAAGTGCTTAGCACAGCGCCTGGCACATACTAGGTGCTATATAAAGGTCTGCTATTGCTATTATCACCAGAAATAGCAAAAGAGCCCTGGATCTGGAATCTGAAACCCTGGGTTGGATCCTGCCTCTGGCTCCACCTTTCCTCTTTGACAAAACCCCTTTCCTGGACCTTAGTTTCCTCAACTGTAAAATGGGATGGTATAGATGGCCTTTGAGACCCCTTCTGTCTAGATTTAAGACTCTATGATCTATGATATTCTTCCATTCGTTAATAGCACTCATCGAATCTCTAAGCATCAGGGCTTCAGTAAAGTCATAGCTCCATGCTCTATGTCGTTGTCCTTGCCCCTGCCAACTAGACTTAGAATCTGCCCTTCTCAACCTACTGCCCATGGGGGAATGTGAATTTGCTTTCTTTTTTTGGAGTGAGAGGCTTAGTATAGTGGAGACAGCACTGGACTGATGGTCTTTAAGTCATAAGATTTTCAGCTGGAAGGGACTTTAGAGATTAATTACTCTAACACCCCAATTAGTCTAACACAATCATTAGAGTGTGAACTGCTTGAAGGCAGGGACTGTCTTCTACCCCTTTTTGTATCCCCAGTGCTTGGCACAGTGCCTGGCACATAGTAGGAGCTTAATAAAAATGTTTTAAACCCTTAATTTATTACATGAGGAAACTGAGGCGCTAGGAGGGAGAGTGATTTGTTATTTGACCACAAGGTCACACAACTAATGGGTAGCAGAGCCAGAATTCAAACCTAAGTCTTCTGATTTCAAATCCACTGCTCTTTCCTTCTTTCTTTTTTTAAAAAAATTTTTTCACTGTTCTTTCTATTAGCCCACACTTCTGCACTATATTGCCTGAAGGAGACTTGAGTTCATATCCCAGATCTACTCTGGAAGATTTTCCCTGTGTAAGTGCTAAGGGCAACCCAGAGCCCCACTGGCTGAACTGTGTGGCCTTGGATAAGTCATTTCACTTCCCCAGAGTCTCAGTTTCCCCATCTGTAAAAATAGAGATAACACTTGCCCCATTCCCATAGAGGGCTACCGTGAGGACAATGAAAACAAAACTTTGTACTGGAAGAAAGTAGATAGAATCCATCCAACGTTATTAAATGGGCCCATGAAAACACTGCCTTAGGCAAAATGACATCACAGGGGGCAATTAGGTCTGTAGAGTGATATCATAATTGTCATTTTGTATTATTGGTTTAGTGGAGGGAGTGTTAGCTCTGGGGTCAAAGGATCTGGCTTTGAATACTGCTTCCCGTGCTTCCTAGCTGGGTGGGCTGGGACAAGCCACTTGGCTCCTCTGGGCCTCCCTCTCCTTATCCATAAAGTGAAGAGATGGGATAAGATAGCCTCTGAGGTCTTTCCAGCTCAATCAACGAGGAGCAGAAAAGCACCCCCGTGGGCCTTCATTTGGTTATCAGGTGCTAGTATTGTGACTGCAAAATGAAATGATGTTAAGTGAGGTATGCCCACAGAATGGAAGTGGTCGCCATCACTATTCTTGTTCCTCTTTGCCTGTCTGCTCAGAGAATCCCAAATGCTTTTCCAGAGCCAGCCTCTTTCAGAAGGGTCAGCAAGGCTTCCACCCTTTCCTCACCTTTCTTGAAGCGAGGAACTCCATCCCTCGGGCCACCTGGAAGCTGTAGCAGATCAGGTCTTCCATGGTCAAGGGGCTTTGCCACAGGTCATCCTCTGTCCAAAGAAAACCAGGAGAAACACATGCATCTGACTCTTTCTGAAACCACTGGGGCTTGCCCAGGACAGGTTTGGTCTCTTCAGCTCAAACTCCATGTGAAAAAAGGGAATGTTTATTAGTTTTGTCTTATGTGCTTCGGAGGTGTGACAGGCTGGGCTTCCCCCTCTGCATTTGCAAACAGTATTAATTCACCTTGATTTGAGGGAGGTCATTCATTGCCAGGGGAAGCCAGGATGGGATTCTGGTCTCCTCTAGCCACTAGTTCCTTCCCTTCCCCTCCCGGCTTTCGTATCTATAGGATGTCTTAGTGCTATTTTAAGCTTTAATAATTTCAGAAGTATAAATTCTACAAAAAATATAATTTAAAAAGTTTAATTGAAATTTTTATATTGATTTTGTTGTGTGAATTTTGAATGATGAATTTTTAATTTTAATTTTTCATTTCATTCCCTCTTATGGTCAGGATTTTAAGGACTAGGATTACAAATGCAATCCTTTCCATCACTGACTAGCAGCTGATGAAAGCTTTCACAAAGTTTGAAAATCGACTAGAACAGGGAATAGTACAAGATAGCAGTTAAATTGATTTTTATTAAGAAACACGTCAATATTTAAAAACAAATAATTAACCTTTCAAATGTTGTTTTTCATAAGTTTATAACATACATACTTCTGAAGTTGTTAAAGCTTAAAACACCACTAAAACTTTTAGGACACCCTGTAATTTTATCTCTCTCTGTCTCTCTCCCCTTTCTTCTCTACCACTCATCTGTCTCTATCTATCTCTCTCTCTTTCTCTCTGTCTCTCTCTCTCCTATGGATAGTCCTCATAGACTTTAAGCAGTCTCTGTTTCAATTTTGTATCCTATCTTCAGCACCTAGAACAGTACCTGACACTTAGCTACTATTTACTCACTGATTGCTTGATTGGGAAATGTTAGAGCAATCGTGAGACTCCAAATTTTGAATTTCCACTAGGATAGTTTCAGGTGGTCAGTGTTGCCTGTGGAGTGGGTGTTCCTGCTTTTCTATAGGGAAGAGGGGTGGTGGTGCAACAACTATATCATAGTGGAAAATGTACTGGATTTTGAATCCAAGAAGCTGGGTTCAAGTGCCAGCTGTGTTATTATATGACCTTGAAAAATCACTTCTCTAAGCCTTAGCTCTTTACCTCTAAAATGAGTCTGCTGGTCTAGATGGCCTTTAGGGTGATGTCCAGCTACATATCTATGATCCAATCCAGGCAATTCAAGGTTTCAGTGCTTCCAGAGGTCATTAAATCCATTCCCTTGCCTCCAGGGACAATTTGCTAAACCACTTTAGCTTTTTAATACCAAAGAGTCAGAGCCCATGAATATATCTTTGGCAATGTTTCCAAGGAGTTCATAACCTCTGAGGCCAGAATATTTTTCTTACTGTCCAGTAGCACTTAGGAAACACAATTCAACCAAGGTGACCCTTTTTGGTCAGTAATCAATGTTGTAACCAACCCCTGATTATCTTTTCATTAGGCTAAATAACTTTGGAGTCATTGAGTATTCTGGGAGGTTAATAAGACCTTAGAGCTAGGAAGGACTTTGGGGGTCACTTAGTACAACTCCCTCATTTTACAGATGAAGAAATGATGGTCCAGAGAGGTTGAGTAACACAAGTAATAAATGGCAGAGCTGGGATTCAAACCTGGGTTCTCTGATTCCAGTTCGTTCTCAGGTGCCACATACCACAGGACAAGAAATCGCTTGGTTCCCTTACCCCTAAAGATTTGCCTGTTCTCAGGGTGGTACCTCTCTTTGTTCTTGTAACTGTGTCTGCCTCTCCTCCAGATCCAGGGACAGAAGAGCAGTCATCATGCTGATGACCTCAGAACTGTGGGGCCAGGAGACAAAGTGGTAGACTTCAGAGAAACCAGCTCACTTACCATCTTGGATAGGCTGGGCTCGGGAAGCAAGGCCCTTTCCCAGCAGAAAACGGGTGAAGATTGCACTGTCACTGGTCCCAGTCTGACTCCTTCTGTCTGCCTTCACAGCCTCCACCATGGAACGGACCTGGTTTCGAAGCCTGGGGGACTTTTCCTAGGGAAACAAACAGAGGTGGGGGTGAGCCAGACAGAGCTCAGAAACCTTCAGTTCTCAAGTTCCTTCTGGGGTGAGGGATGCTCAAAGGTCCCACGTGATTTGTCTTTCTGATGGAGCAGCTCCAGCCTCCTTCATGCTCTCCATGATCCTCCTTCCCATCCCTGGGCAAATGGAAGAAGGAGCTGACCGTCGGCAAGGAGATGAGAAAACAGGGTCACTGCACACAAACTGCATGTGCCTAAGTAAAGGGAGCTGAATGCACTCACCTGAAGTTGGATCTAAAGTGCTCCCTTGGGCCATCTCCAATCCTGCCTTCTGTCCCACCCTTCCCACAGGCTGACATCCTTTGGGACTCTGTGTGTGCATTGGAGGCAAGGCCTGTGCACTGTAGTGAGGACCAGCCCCATAGCAAGTGTGGATCCCTTTCCATCAGCCCCCATGCCACAGCAGCTGACCTCCAAGGAAAATCAGACACTCCTCTCCAAAGCTGGTTCTAGGGTTACACTCAATAAATCTGATTCTTAAAGTTGGAAGGAGCCTGAAAGCTAAATATCTCCTATTTCTTCATCTGATCTTTATATAGTATGAGTTCAAGTTTCCTCACCATGCTGTTCACTCTTCTCTGGGATTCTTCTAGGGCTCACCTGTATTCAGGTCAACCTGATAGTAAAGAGAGTGCCTGGCCCCCAAAGCTGTGGACAAAGAGGCCTCTGGAGATCATTTTAACACTTCCTCTTGTCTATTTCTTTTTGTAAGCTCATTTGCCATGGTCCAGTGGCCTCATGTTAGGTTCTACAATAACATGACATCAAGGGTCAACCAGAGCCAGAGAATTTGCCCTCAGACACTCCCCGAGGGCTGAAACCACCTACTCTGTAAGGGCTGAAGTCTTCCCTCTTGGTCCGAAGGTAGTTGGAAAGATTCCCATATTTGCAGAATTCTACAATCACCATGAGAGGCCCTAAAAGAGAGAGAAGGAGGTAAGGGAGAAAGATCGTTGTGGGAGGCCTAGAGAAGAAGAATCTGTAAATGGTCAGGGACATACACACACAGACAAATCATAGTTATGACACTGTAATAGTAATTAATAATGATGTAATCTCTAAGCCTGGGGAGATTTCCCGAAGGACTGCTCTGTGACACTGAGTGTTGTTGGAGAGGGATGACTCCTGATTGGCTGAGACACTTCTGTGTATGTGTAAAGAGATTTTAGAGAACAAGTGAGGGTAAGTGGAGAATGGAACTGGAAGATACTGATGAAGTCCTGAACTTTTGAAAGGCCCAGGGGAATTCCCATAGCTAGGGACATGAAGAGGAGCCTGCTCTTCAACCTCTTGCTTCCCAGCTTCTGCAACCCTAGAGAGGGCCGAGAATGCATTTCCCTGGAGAGGTTGTTGTGACCTTGGTCGAACTGAGATTTTTATCTTGTTCCTCAATTGAAGAGCTCATTATTCTTTTGTCTATTCTGTCTACCCTGACCCGAATAACTTTCCCAATTTCTGTTTAATTCTTACTTTGATTAAGGGGTTTAATAGCTATTTGTGATTGTAATTTTTGTTCCAAGTGTTTGGTAGGGGAAGCCAGACTAGTGACTGAGCTAACAATCACTCTCCTGGTCTAGAGCAGGTCTACTTTCCACCCAAAATAACCAGGGGAGGTGGTGTTATTCTGAATCCCCAAAGAGTCTTACCCCTAGGCTACCAGTATTTGAGGTGTGGTAGAGAGCTCTAACACCTCTCTTGGAGATAAGCCATTGAAGGAGAGAGTTCTCAGCCATGATTCTTCTCTTGTTCCTCATAAAGGCAGAAATCATAGTCTCCCTTGCAGACAGGGGAGGCCAGATCCCAAATCAGATAGTTATCTATCCATTCCACGTGAGTCAGCCATGTGTATATTACACAGCAATAATAATGAGTATTTATGTAGTGCTTTAATATTTGCAAAGAGCTTTCAAGTAATCTCTTCATCCTCACAACAACCCTGGGAGGTAACTATTATGATCCTCATCTTACTGATGATGAAACCGAGTCAGACAGCAGTTAACTGAATGGCCTAGAATTACACAGCAGCATCTGAGGCTTGATTTAAACCCAGATCTTCCTGATTCTAGGCCCAGCGCTCTATCTACTGCCTCACCTACCTGATAAGTCCATGCATCATCTAGGCTGTGTTACTTATGGATTAGGAAACGAAGTCCAGAGTCTGGCCACACTAATAACAGTTCACATTTATATGGCATTTTGAGATTTGTAAATTGCTTTACACACATATTTTTCATCTGATCCTCACAATCCTCTTAGGTCAATGCTATTATTAGCCCCATTTTATAGATAAGGGGACTGAGAGATTATATTTGCCAAGAGTCTCACACCTAGGAAGTATCTGAGGCTGAATATGAATCCAGATTTTCTGCCTCTTGGTCCAGAATTTCTATCCTCTAAACCTCACTGACTATTAGTCCAGCTCATCTGTGACTGCTGAGAGAGATTAAAAATTAGCACGTGCCACTCAAATTTATTAAAAGCTAAAGGGAGGTAATAATAACAGCTAATATTTAGAGGGTGTTTTAGGTTTAGAATCAAATCATCTCATTTGATTCTCATAACCACCCTGGAAGATAGGTACTATAATTATTTCCATTTTACAGATGAGGAAACTGAGGCTAAGAGGTTAAGTGATTTGCCTAAGGTCACATAGCTATTCTGAGTCAGGATTCAAACTTAGATCTTGCTAACTCCACCTCTAGCTTCCTATCCACTCTAGTGGATGTGATGGATTGGTTGGAAGTCCCCACCGCCTCAGCTGCAGTACTAGGCTACAGCTACCTGGCTGACTGACTTTCTGTCTGTCTGTCTGTCTGTCTGTCTGTCTATCTTTCTTTCTTTCTTTCTTTCTTTCTTTCTTTCTTGCAATTGGGGTTAAGTGACTTGCCCAGGGTCACACAGCTAGTAAGTGTCAAGTGTTTGGTCTGAGGCTGGATTTGAACTCAGGTCCTCCTGACTTCAGGGCTAGTGCTCTATCCACTGCACCACCTAGCTGCCCCTGCTACCTGACATTTTATTGAAGAAACAGAGCCTGAGATCATCTGGGGGCAATGCACATGATGGAGAAGATACTGCACATTCTCCTGCATCAGGATTACACTCCCTGAGACATGGAACATAAAACTGCTCATGTGTTAGTAGGATAATAAAGAAAAGACTGTTCCACTCAGTCTGCGAATGAGGAGGTTTGGCTGTGGGAGAAGATATGAGTCTTAAAAAGAAGAGAGATTTATATTTTTGTTTTTCTCTCAACCCTTGTTTTGCTTGATGGTTGTTTCTAGAGGCTATCAAAACTAAGAGCTCATTCTAATCTAAATGCTTCCCAAATCTTCAACTTCTCCCAACCTTCTGCTTCCTTCCCTGCTGCCCACAAACACAGCTAGGCCCCCTCCCTCCTTAGAAAGCACTCACTTGACCCGACCATTCCCTCATGTTGTCCTATATCTCTCTTCCATTTCACAGTCAAACTCCTAGAATAAGTGGTCCGTGTCTGTTGCCTTTACTTTATTCCATATATGCTGTATATATTTCACAAGCATTCATCTCCAATAGAATAATGATATTAACTAGCATTTAGATAGCACTTTGAGGTTTGCAAAATGCTTTGTGTACGTCATCTAATTTTAATAGACTGGAAGCCCCTCGAGGGCAGGACTTTTCCTTTTTGTCTCTGTAGCCCCAGAGCCTAGCCCAGTGCCTGGCAGGTGACAGATACTTAACAAATGCTTGTCCACGGACTGTTTAATTGGTCACAGAAGGTAAATTTGCCCTTTGGTTGCTCTGCTAAGTCACACTTTTCTGCCACTTCCCAGCTGTCCCAGAGTCAGCCAGAGAAGAGAAACAAAGGGATCTTTCCCGGCTTGTGCAGTCTCAGTCTAGGACTGCAGTTAGACAGTGGGAATGTCCAGCCAAGAGCCTGTAACATGACTTACTCATTAAAGAAATGGAACTGATTTAAAACTTTGTCTAGAGAATGTTATGACACCTCCAGTGAAAAGAGGTACCGCAGTGAGGTGCTAGTCCCCTAGGGTGGGAATCTAGTCCCTTCCGCCTTCCTAACTACCACCCCCACCAATTCTTCTCCCTCCATGTGTGCCACTCATACCTCTCCCTCCATGTCAGGCACCTCCCCCAATGCCATCCCCTTGTATCTGGCACTCCCTCTCCCCTAAAGCCTCCCCCTCCATGTCTGCCACTCCCCCCCCCCCATACCTCCCTTTCCATGTCAGGCACCCTCCTTCCTCATGCCATCCCTCTCCGCATCTGGTACTTACCCCTCCTCTGAAGCTCCCCTTCCATGTCAGGCACTCCCCCCTCCCCCATGCCACTTCCTCCATGTCAGATACTCTCCTCCTTCATGTTATCCTCTCTAGACCTAGCGCTACCCCCTCTCTATGCTGCCCCCTCCATATCTGGCACTGCCCCTCCCCTAAAACCTCCCCCTCCATGTCTGGCAGTTTCCCCTTTCATGTCATCCTCTCCAGGTCCGGTCCTACCCCACCTCAATGCTGCCCCCTCTGTACTGGGCACTCCCCTCCTCCCCTACCTCAAATGTCTCCCCTTGCTGGCACTAACCATTAGGCTTGGTGCAGGCGCCCAGGAGGTTGACCACATTGAGATGGTTTCCAATGTGTATCAGAATCTTCAGCTCTGACATCAGTGCTTTGTGCTCACTGGCAGTAGCCCCCTCTGGAAAGAAACATGGCGTGGAGCTGAAAGCTTCCCTGGCCCAGTTAGCCTGAGTTACCTCTTTTCCACTTCTCTGCCCAGGGGCCTGGCTCAGCCATCCTCACCCTCCCAGAGCAGCCACAGCTGAGCTCTAATGCCCACTGAGAGGATGGCCCTGGGAATACCAGATCCTACACCATTTGTTTCTCTTCGGAGGGGTTGGTTCTCCTCTCCTTGGTCAGGCAGGGGCAGCAGAGCTGGCCTAAGGTCTAAGACAAGCTGTGCTGGGCCTGGACAACAGCGGAGATTGGCTGCTTTCTTGTCCTTCTATCCTAATTGTGTGCAAGATGCTTCCTGTATGTCTGCCCTGACTGCCTCCCTCCCTCAGCGTTGTGAGAATGAGGATCATGCACACTCAGGTTCCTCTGTGTTCTGGGATCCGTCCCAGTGCTGCGCTTTACAGATCCTGTCACCTTCCTCCTTCCCACACAGGGTCACCACCTGACCGCCCTGGTTCAGTGGAAAGAACATTAACTCTGGAGTCAGAGGATGTAGGTTTAAATCCTGCCTCTGACCCTCAGTACCTGTGGGATCTTGGGCAAATCACTCTTTGGGCCTCATGTCCCTCATCCGTAAAATGAAGGGGTTGGATAAGACGACTGCTAAGGTCACTTCTAGCTCTAGACCTCTGAACCTGAGTCTGTACAGGCCCACATGACCCTTGCCTCTGGGGCTGCTTAGGCAGGCGTTTGTTTCTCAGAGAGCTCCAGCCTCCCTTCCTTTGCAAAATATCACAGTGGGAAAGGGCCAGGGAAAGGACCCTTTTCTTCCCTATCTTAGCGAGGACCTCACATTTAAATAATGTTTTAAGGTTTTTAAAATTTTAAAAAAAAATTTACTTTCAGGTTTGCAAAACATTGTTTTATTTGATCCTTGAAACAACCTTGTGAGGAAGGTGTATTATTGTTCCCATTTTAAAGATGAGGAAACTGAGACTGAAGGGTTGTGACTTGTCTAGGCCAGTGTCTGAGGCAGCATTTGAATACAGGTCTTCCTGATTTCAAGTCTAGCACTCTCTACTATACCACTACCTCCAGGGAGTAAGTCAGTGTCTGCCCTCCCATCCCTTAGATGACCCCCAGTGGCCAGCCTACCTTTCAGCATTTTGACTGCCACTGTATCACAGCTGTTGCCCTTGTTGATCCCAAAGGCAGAGGCTTCAACCACCTTCCCAAAGGCCCCGTGTCCCAGGACTCTCCCTGTTGGGCAGAAGGAGAGAGGGGAAGGGAAGGAAAGGGAAAAGGAGGGAACAGGTTATGGGGATTGTATGTGATGGGAGAGGTAGAGAGCGTGCAACGAGCTTGGGTTATGGGGCATAGGGGGATGGCAGCGAGGGGCCAGAATAGGGCAGGATGGTAGAGTGCAGGCAGGGGGCCCAGGGCCAGACGTCTGACTGGCGCTGAGTCAGCCATGGCGTGCCTGCCACAGCACGGAGAGGAAGGCAGAGCCAAAAACTCAGGTGAACTGTGGCCAAACAGGAAGGGGCTGGGGGTGAAAGAGAAGGACCAAAGCAGAAGAGGAGAGAGGGGAAGAGGAAGGAGCCAGCATCCTCTCCCTCCAGGTGCTCGCAGCCCTTCTCTAACCAAAGGCAGGAACGGAGGCAGGAAATAGCTCACTGCGCTCTACAGACCCACTGTCCCGGACTCCTGGGGGGCATGGGAAAGGGGAGCTCTGTGCCCGGGGAACTAGGGGTCACACGCCCATGCGGCTGGGATGAGTGGACAGATAGGTCTGTATTTCCGGGATGAGCTTTAGGAATGGAAGGAATTTCACATGTCCCCAGGCAGGTGTGGAGGATGAGGACTCCAAACTCTTTCCCCATTTGTTCCCCATAAGCCCTTCACTAACCACTGTGCTGATCTCTTCTTTCCTCCTCCCCACGCCTTCCACCAAGAGCCTCCAAGCCAGCACTATTTCACAAGCCACATACTTCCCAGTGACTCTGCCACCCATTTCTGAGTCCTGGCTTTCCAGAGACTAGCAAGGCCACACAATCCCTTTGTCTCACCCAGATGGAGCCGTTCTCGGGGAAACTCCCATTTGCTGGAATCATAGGGCAAATATTCACACTGGTCCTCCAGGGCCACCTCGCCTGGGTCCATGATGATAGACAGGTATCCCGTCTTGATGTCTGCATGAGCAGGCTTCAGGGAGCAGGGGAAGAGGACAGGGGAGAAGTTATTATTTCTCTTCTCCCAGAAGATGACCCCTTCTAACGTTTTAAACTGAGTCTGTGAAAACACAGCCTTAGGCAAAATAACATCTCAATGAGCAGGTAAGGCCATAGAAAGAGATATTATAATTTGCATTTCAGATGACTGAGACAGTAGAAAGAGCATTGGCTTTGGAATTAGAATTCCTGGGTTCAAATCTCATCTCTGATGCTTACTAACTGTGTGACAATGGTCAAGTCACTTAGCTTCCTTGGGCCTCATTTTCTTTCCCCCCCCAATTTTATTAATTTATTGATTTATCAACAATCACTTCCATATGCTTTTGAGTTAAAAATTTTTCTCCCCCTTCTTCCCACCCACCCACCCTCCCCAAGATGGCTCACAATCTGATATGGGTTTTACATTTACATTCCTATTAAACATATTTTCACATTAGTGAAGTTGTAAGTAAAAATTAAAACCAATAGGAGGAACCATCAGAAAGATGAAACAAAATTCAACAGAAGGTAAAAATAAGTGATAGCAATTCGATTTCCATAGTTCTTTCTTTGGATGTGGACAGCATTTTCCATCCTGAGGCCTCTGGAGATGTCTTAGAGTCTTGTAATGCTGAGAAGGGTTCAGTTTAACAATGTTAGTCATTGCATAACGTGGCTGTTATTGTGTACAAAGTCCTCTTGGTTCTGCTCACTTCACTCAGCATCAGACCATATAGGTCTTTCCAGGTTTTTCATATACCACAACTTGCTCAGCCATTCCCCAATTGATGGGCATCCTCTCAATTTCCAATTCTTTGCCACCACAAAAAGAGCTGCTATGAATATTTTTGTACATGTGGGTCCTTTTCCCATTTATTTGATCTCTTTGGGACATAGCCCTAGAAGTGCTATTGCTGGATCAAAGGGTATGCACATTTTTGTAGCCCTTTGGGCATAGTTCCAAATTGTTCTCCAAAATGGTTGGATCATTTCACAACTCCACCAACAATGTATTAGTGTTCCAATTTTCCCACATCCTCTCCAACATTTATCATTTTCCTGTTTTGTCATGTTGGCCAATCTGATAGGTGTGATGTGGTACCTCAGAGTTGTTTTGATTTGCATTTCTCTAATCAATAACGATTTAGAGCTTTTTTTCATATGAGGGTCTCATATGAAAAAAGGGTATGAGATGAGGGTATGAGATGAGATGGCTTCTAAGATCCCTTTCAGCTCCATAAGCCTGTGAACCCTCCTTCCCTCACCATTCAACCTTATTTATCAAGCCTTCTCTGTTCAGGGCCCAGTGCCCGACTCTTCTGGAGAGACTCCCTGGAAGAAGGAGATGGTGGGGTCCACTACATGAAGGCATTCATAGAGTAATAAGAATGGATTCTCAAAATTCACATGAGATCTTTTATACCAAGTTCCAGAGTGCTTTGAGGGTGGAGAGAAAGCAAGGAGCATTTCAGAGAGGGTCTCAGGAATAGCATCTAACTTGGGCCCTGAGGACCTCAGAGACAGAGAGAGACAGAGAGAGAGAGATCAGGGTGGGGAGAATTAATTACTATTGGAGAATGAAGACTTGGCAGGGGAAGGAAAAGGGTAAACTTCAAAGAAAAATAGACTCAATGGTAACAACAGAGAAGGAGAGAGATGAGAGATGAGCGGCCAGCACGCAGAAGGCCCAGGGGCACAGGTAGGCAGGAGTGGATAATAGTCCCTCTGCCTCTGGCAGTAGGATCATATCTGGGCTAGCCCCATCTAGTTCAAGAGGAAATAATCCATCAATCAACAAATATTTGTAGATTTTCTACTGTGTGCCAGGTGCTGTACTAGGTGCTGGAGATACAAAAATAAAGATGAAATAGTTCCATATGTCAAGGAGCCTCCATTCTGCTGCCAGGCTAAAGGGGGCAGTGAGGCCTGCATAATCAAGGGTACAGGGCATTTGGCATCTTCTCTGGCTCTGCCCACCTGCTACATCACCCTGGGCTTCCTTCCAAGCTGAGCTGCCTCTGAGCAGAGGTAGGAGTGGCCGGCCGGAGGCAGGACTGGGGGCCCTGGTCTGCCTTAGACTCACCCGCTTCATGTTGCAGAAGATGAGTATGAGAAGGATCCAGAAGAACACAGCGATAACCCCGGTGCCAATGAGGATGACAATCTCCATGCTGCCTTTGTCCTCGGATCCTAGGAAGTGAGGAGGGGAGGGAAAGGTCAGGGCCAGCCTAGCCACCTGGGTCAGATGCTGGGGTATACCCACGGAGAAGGATGGTAAGGATTCCTGGGGCCTCAGCCTTATTTCTCCACAGCCCTCTAGGTGGGGGTGATGCACCTATTCTCCCAGCTCAGGGCCTTTATTTTCCTGTGCCCCTTGCAGCTCAGCCATCATGATGTCTCTAAAAAGACCCACAGGCCCTCACCAGTCTCTTCCCCAGCCCAGTAATAACAGCTACTAGCATTTATATAGTACTCTAATATTTACAAAATGTGTTACATACAGTTACCTCATTTAATCCTCACCATGAGTGAGTGGTTGACACTATAATTACCCCTAGTTTAGAGCCTGAGGCAAGGTAAGTGATTTGCCCCAAGAGTCAGATAGCTAATAAGTGTATGAGTCAAGATCTGAACTCAGGCTTTCCTTATTCCAAATCCAGCACACTACCCACTGAGGCATCACACTGCCTGAATATGAGAATGAGAAACAAGATTGGAAAATCCTATCTAGTCGGAAAGCCTGACCTTGAGCAGAGGCCTCGTAGTCTATGCTGGGCCTACGAAGACTCCCAAGCAGAACCAGAAGACTTTGGGGCTCAAGGCAAAACTTAAGTACTGTTTTTTCTTCCACCCCCAGCCCCCAGTTTGAAAATTGTTCCTCCCAAATATTACTGTCCATAGGAGGCTTTGAGCCATCAATGTAACATGTTGAAATCACAACATAAAGACCTGTGGGTTATGGAGTGGGGCTCTTCTGCATTAGAAATACATGCATTAATATTTTTTGGGTCACTCATTGTGCCACCTATGGGTTGTGTCCTAAACAGCTGCCCATCCCCACTGTGGCTCTACTACCTTCCACAGACACGCTGGCAGAGGAATTGACACAGCCCTTGGCATTGCAGACGCTGCACAGGTATCGGCCCGCATCTTCCTCCCGCGCCCTCTGGATGCTCAGTCTTTGGTTGGAGTCAGCCAAGTCAATCCCTGGGAGACAGGAAGGAAGTTGTGATGGGAAGCAGAGGGAAGAATCGCTTTTCCCTCCTCCCCCCTACCCAGCAGTATGTTCTTTGGCTATCTTCTTGAAGGCTCTCTCTGAGACCTTCAGGACTGATAAGAGCTGCCTCTAATCTTCAGAACCTCCTTCCACCCTGATAGCTAGACTGTGGTCTAGGTCAAGAAAGAAAGGTCTGTCTTGTGTTCTGTGTATCACAGGGTCTGCACATAGCGGTGTTCAATAAATATTTATTGACTAGAATTTAACTGAATTGGTCCTGGGTTTCAGATATGTGCATCCTGTCGCCTCACAGAGATTGTGAGCTCCAAAGGCAGGGGCCATGGCTTATATCGGAGTCACTTATCAGTCAACCTTGACACCAGAAAGGAAGCAAGCAAAGCATATGAGCAGCCAAAGTCAAATACTTTCCTTACAGAAGAGATCTTCATTCAGAGACTAGTTACTCTTGGTTAACATACAATACTATCACAATTCATCATCTGGTTTCTCAGCCCACAGAATATTAAGACAAGCAAAATCGGATGGGAGTAAGGATGGCAGAGCACAGTTAGAGACAGGTGCAGTGACAGCAATGAGAAGTGATAGCTACAGTGAAAGAAGAGAGAGAAAATTATTTTTAAAAAAACCTTATAAAAACAGACACGAGACCTCCTCAAGATCAGTGGGCGGGGGCCCAGAGAAACTCACTATCTCAGCCAAACACAGTCCCTTAGGGTTTACAGTGATGAGATGAAAAAAAAAAAGAGGTTAAATTATGTTTATTATCATCTGGTTAAGAAGATAGATACATATGTGCTCCCTTTTAGAAAGATTCCAACTGTGATGGTTAAAATTAAAGTTTTAGTGCTGAAAGAGGATACACACTAATATTTGCTCATATGAAACAGGATGTCCCTGACAGCGTTGGATAAAGTATGCCTCCCTCTGCTTTTCTATATCCACCCTAGGACCCTGCAATGTTCAGAGCAGACTTGAATTCAACGGAACTGAAGGGAAAGCATTACCTTTCCCTTCCACCCCACCCCCTTCCCCAGGACATACAGGTCTTGTCCTTGGTCTCTGTTCTGGCCCACTCACCACATGGAATTAAATGTTTTCAAGCCAAAAGAAACCACACGTTTGGTTTAGCTGAGTGTAAGGGACAGAGATATCCTTTGAAGTATCCCTTTTTTCAACCCAAGTGACAACAATTTCTCCCTAAATTCAACCTTATCGATGGACAGCTTCTGGGAGAAGTTGTCCCTAGCCTTCCCTGGGGATGAAGGAGGTACTTTTAGGCTTGAAGGATGCTCTTTGCTGAGGTTTCTCCCCTGGGTTTGCCCTCTAATGAAAAAAAAAAAACCACACCAAACATCCGATCTAACTAAGGAAGGGGGCAAATGAACCTCTTCCTTTAGGGAGGAAACCAAGTGAGGGAATATACGGAGGGGCTTTCGGGGCAGGATTGTCTTGCCCTAGTGAGCCTGTGTGTCCAGTGATAGGGCCTGGGCCAGCTGCTCCATAGAGAATCTTTTGTAACACAATTCTTGAATTTGCTTCTTTTCCCTCAGTTTCTCAGTAAAGTTCCCTTTGAAAGAGTCCAAACTTGTCCAAACTAAACCAAGGGGAAAAGGGATTGTCTCTCATCCAAATCTGGGTTCAATGGGCAGTAGGCGTGAATACCTTTAGGAAAGAGGCCATGAGACAGAAGCCAACCCTCCCAGAGTCAGAAACAATGAGGAAACAAGGAAACAAACAGAGGGATGAGAACCTAGAAGGGGGTTGCTGTGGATCATAATCCCCCATCTGGGACTTTCCTTTGCATCTTCCCAGGGTCCCCCCCCCCGACTCCTAGGGCCCCTCCGTACCTGATTCCTCTTCCAGCAGCCTCTCATCTTTGTACCAGACGATGTCTGGCACATGGGCCCCGGCCACCCGACATCGCATCTCGATGGAGTCACTGACGTTCACCGAAAGGTCAGTCAAGTTCTGTGTGAGCTGGGGCACCTCCAGAGCTGGGGGAAGGGCAATGTGTGGGGTTAGCTGCAGGGGATATCCCCACAGCTAAAAGCCTGAGAAGGTAGCAGGGAGGGAGTGATGTTGAGCTGGGACAACAGGCGACAAAGAAGAGAATCCTGCCTTTTTCTCCTGGTGAAGTGGTTTGATTGGGGGGTGGGCAGAGAGAAAAGAAAGTGACAGCAGAGCTGTATGTATGTGTGTGTGTGTGTGGGGGGTGTTTTTTCCTTCCATTATAACATAAGCTCCCTGAGGACAGGGGCCTGTTGTTGACGTTGTGTCCAATTTTGCGTGTCCCCATGGACGATGTCCATGGGGTTTTCTTGGCAAAGATATTGGAATGGTTTGCCATTTCCTTTTCCTGTGTCCATACTACAGATGAGGAACTGAGGCAAATAGGGGTTAAGTGACTTGCACAGGGTCACATAGCTAGTAAGTGTCTAAGGCCAGACTTGAACTCAGGTCTTCCTGACTGCAGGCCTGGTGCTCTATCCTCTGTGCCACCTAGCTGCCCCACTATCATTATTAGCTATTATAAAATACTTTCTGATTTGAATTTAATTAAATGCCTTTTGAATTTGTGGGTGTTGTAGGTGGAGAGAGGGAATGTTCCCAGGCCCGTGAAATGGACCCCACAGAGAGTTCTGTGAGGCTCTAGCTCTCTCCTCGTAGCCCACCCTCCTGTGGATTAAGCCCACAGCCCTCACTCCGTCTATTCTGCTGCCTTCCTTGGTCTGGACTCTGTATCCCTCTTCCTCTCCCTGACCTCTGGCCCCAGCTGCCCTTGGGGGCTCCTCACCCTGCACAGAGATGTATTTCTTGTGGCAGTGTTTCTCGTGGCTACGCCGGTCTTGCACTTCACACACATAATCGCCTTCCTCATCAGGGGCAATGCGGGGCAGGGCCAGGCGCAGGGTGGCATGGCGGGAACCTGGTGTGGAGCTCAGTTGGCCCTCCAGCCGCGTGGCGTACAGGTGCACATTCTTGCAGTCAAGCAGGAGTGGGTTTCCCTGAGCGTCATGCAGTGTGGACAGGTTCAGGCGGTACCACTGAAGATTCTCGTAAGTGTAGTTGTCCGCCTTGCAGCTGAGGGTCAGGTCCTGGCCTTCCACAGGCTCCTCAGAGGGCTCTGACTCAATTGTGAAGCCATCGGGGATAGCTGCAGGAAAGAATATGTCAGGGGGGCTGCCATCCCCACCACTGCCCTGAGGCCTTGTCTGCCTGGATTACAAAACCCAAGGACCTTTTCTTAGTCCTTATCCTCCTTGACCTCTCTGTGCCATTCGACATTATTGACCATCCTCTTCTTCATGATGCCCTCTTCTCCCTTGGCTTTCACGACATTGCTCTCTGATTACTCCCCTGCTGACGCTGGCTTTTTTTTAAAAAAAACTCCTTCCATAATCTAAATACAGGGCTCTCCTAAAGTCCTAGCCACAGCCTTTCTCTCTCTCTCTCTCTCTCTCTCTCTCTCTCTCTCTCTCTCTCTCTCTCTCTCTCTCTCTCTCTCTCTCTCTCTCTCCCTCCCTCTCCCTCTCCCTCTCCTTTTGTCTCTTTTTTTCTTTGGCAATCTCATTCACCCTCCTATCTTCATCTCTGCCCTCAGGTCTCACTGATTTAAGCATCCTCATAGAATTAGACAGGGTTTTGGAAACAATTTAGTCCAGTGCTATCAAACTCAAATAGAAACAGAGCCCTGTAAGCAGCATACTGACTTAGAAAAGCACAAATTAACATTACCAATGTTGTATTTGTATTTATTTTGTTAAACATTCCCCAGTTACATTTTAATCTGGTTTGGGCCTTACTGGGGAGTTTTGGGGGCTGCCTGTGGACAGAGGCCTTGAGTCTGACACCTTTCAGGTAGTTTATCTCTGCCCCCCCCCCCACTTTGCAGAAGAGGAGAACTAATTTGCTCAAGGTCACATAGATGGGTAGTAACTGAACAGGGACCAGAGCCTGGGCCTTCTAAGTCTTAGTCATGCACTCTTGCTATAAATTCAACATCACCATCTGCCTTCTGACATTACTCTTGAATGTCCTGCAGGCATCTCAACTAAACATGTCTTATATTTTCCCTCAAATCCAACCTCTCTTCCAAACTTCCCAATTTTGGTTGAGGGCTTTACCAACCTTCCACCAGGTTTTCAAGCTTAGAGTCAACCCTGACTCTTCTGTCTCCCTTATCCTGCCCCTCTCCCATCCACTTCCAGCTTGTTGATTCTGTCTCCACAACAGCTCATGAGTCCATCCCCTTCTCCCCACTCACCCAGCCTCTACAGACCCTCATCCTCCCTTGCCTAGATTACTGCAATGATCTCCCACTTGGCCTCCTTGCTGCTTGTCTCTCGCCTCTCCAAATCATCTACCACGCAGCTGCCAAACTGACAATTCTAAAACGGAGATCTGACCATGTCACTTGCCCACTGAAAAATTAATGTCTCCCAGCAGCTTCACCGATAAAATACAAAGTCCTCAGCCTGGCTTTCAAACCCTTCCCAGTGATCTTATTTAACTTCCCTTCACGTACATTCATTTCAGTGAGATTGACCCCTTTCCAACCTTCCATCTCCTTGTATGCCTTTGCACAGGGGGTCCCCCATTTCTGGAATGCGCTCCCCACCTTACTCACTAGTTACGTAGAAGTAGATGAGGCGTTCATCCTGCCCCACTTTGTTGAAGGTGACACACTTGTACATGACAGAGACGTTGGCCTCCTGGATCACCAGCTTGCTCACAGTCTGGAGTGGGAGAGGACAGACTACTGAGATTTCTTTTCCCAACCAATGGCCCCTTCCCCTAGGCTGGTGCCTACTTGAGTGATGGAGAAATAGCCTGGGGGCATGGAGTAACTGAGGCTGTAGGGTAACATAGAGGGCTAGTAGGAAACATTTCCCAGGAGTCCCAGCCTCCAGCCCTTCTCCTCCTGGGACAACACCCACCTGCTTTATTTTCTTAAAGAAACTAGGAGCAACCAGGTAGCAAAGGGGATAGTCAGGAAGATGTGAGTTTAAATCCAGCCTCAGACACTTCCTAACCGTGCATTGGGTTGACCTGAGTTCTTAAGTCTTTCAAAGTAGTTCGCCTTTACCATGTTATTTTAATTACATAAATTGTTCTCCTGGTTCTGATCACTTCACTCTTTAGTTCATAAATTCAAATCTTCCTAGGTTTCTCTTTTGTCATTTTAATGATGTTTCCTTTTGTCTTTTTTTTTTTTTACAAAAACCATCCCTTTTGTCATTTTTAGTGGCATTTCATTCCATTAATATCATAACAATAGTTAGCTTTATATAGGGCTTTAAAGTTTACAAAGCACTTTACATTTGTCCAATCTATCTTTACAACTACCCTTCAAGGGAAGCACCTTTCTTATCCCTACTTTAGAGATAAGAAAATGGAGGCAATGGAGGTTAGAGTGACTTGCCCAGGGTCACACAGCTAGTCAGCGTCTGAGGCCAGATTTGAACTCAGGAAGATGAGTCTTCCTGATTCCAGGCCTGGCATTCTATCCACTTTGCCACCTAGCTGCCCCATTTACTACTGTCATGTAGTTAATGTTTAATAAATGCTCGTGGACTGGCCGACTAGATCCTTGCCTAGGTCTCTTGCAGGATTAGATTTCCCTGACATGCTTTAGTCTTGATGGGAAATAGGATGCGAGGTTTAGGGGAAGTAAAGGTGAGAAAATACAGTGAACAAAGATGCCGGGATGGAAGGAGAGAGGGATGCCACCCGAGGCATTGGGACCCAGCTACGGGCTGCTGCAGTTCTCTGCCTGCCCCGTGGCCAGAGCAGTGGGCGCTCTCTCTTTGCAGGTTCCATCCCTTCCCTTTCCTCCCCCTCCTGGCCCTGAGGCCACTTCCCGATGGGCCTTTGAACAGGAAGCATCTTTGGAGGTGTGTATGAAAACAGGAAGTGACTTGAGGAAATGGGAGCCCTTTGTTGTTCTGGGCCTCCATTCCCTCCTCCCCGTGTGCTGTTCTCTGGGCACAAGCCCCCTTTGGGGCAGACAGAGCAGGCAGACGAGAGGGATGGAATGGGGGAGCCATCCTCTTCAGCTACCGTTGAGGGCAGAAAACAGGGTGTTGGCCTCAAGCAGTAGGCACAACCCAGGCATATCACCCCTTGCTTGTCTTAGCAGCAACTCCTGGGTCCTCCCTCAAATACATGGATGATTTATGGTTGGAAGTTGTCAATGTTTAACATTCTTCCCTCATCCTAGGAAGATGGACCTGGGAGAGAGCAGAAGATGCTTTGAGATGAAGTGGCGAAAGCCTCAGACCTGGATTCAAAGGGCCTGGGTTTGCATCACAGCTCTGCTGCTTACTCCCTATATGACTTTGAACAAGTCACATAAACCTCAGTTTCCCCATCTGCATAATGAGGGGCTTGGACTAGATGACCCCTAACTCTCTTCTAACTTAAAATCCCAAAGTCTTGTAAGTATAGATCAGGCGATCAGTGAGGCCTGAGTCTGGCCACTGGGCAGGGAGTCAGGGCATCGTCTCCCTGCTGAGGGCTCCATCCCCAAGGTCAGAAGTAGGCTGCTCTCCAGTGTAGCACATAGCAACATGTACATGTACACAGAAGCAGGGGATGAGAGGGAATGAGACAATAATTTCTTTGAATTTCCTCCTAGGAAGAACCATTTACCCTGAGATAGAGGTGTATGTGGTTGGGTATTAAAGCAGATAAAAAGCAGAGGGCCTGGAAACACACACACACATTCCTGACTTGGAATCAAGTTTAAATTCTACCTTAGACATTTACTAGCTGTGTGACTCTGGGCAAGTCACTTAACACTCTGGGCCTCAGTTTCTTTATCTGTAAAATAAAGGAGTTGAACTTATTGACCCCTAAGATGCCTTCTAGCTTTATGACTACCAACCTACCTCAAAGGACTTTTCTGACGAAAATCATAAAACATTACATAAAAATGAATTATTATTTTATTATTGTCACTTTGAATAGGGGGGAATATGAGGTGTTTGACTTTTACAAAGATCCTAGTTTTTGGTAGGAATGACCATGGAACCCAGGTCTTTGGACTCTGAGGCAGGCTGGTGGTGGTGATGGTGAGCTGTGGGGCTGAGTGCTCCCTCCTGTCTTTACTTCCCTCCCTCAGGACCTCAAGGTTGCCATGGTACCCAGCTAAGCACTGGACAGAGCAGCCTAGTGCCAGGGGTCTTTCCTTCTGGCCTCCTTCATTCTTGTCAGCTGACAGTCTGGGCAGTGCCTCAGGGGGGTTACTCTGCCTTTACTCTTGGCTTTGTATCTCCAGCCCCATCCTGGCACATAGCAGGTGCTTAATAAATGCTTGTTAATTGATTCTGTCCTAGGCCTGGCCCTCACCTTGTTTTTGCCTTCCACAGATTCAGTCCAGGTGTCCAGGCTCTCGATGGGGTTCACAGCATCCTGGGCTGAGACTTCCCTCCAGTCCACACACTGGGGCATTCGGTCCCGCTGATGCCGCCCTCCTGCTAGCTGCCTCCTGTGCATCCACAAGAAAGTAGGGGGAAATCAGTGTTTGGGGGTGTCCTACCCCTCTCAGGAGAGGAGAAAAGTGCCAGGTGGCTCCCCTCTCTCTTCCTTGAAGGCCAGAACCCAGGACATGTCTGGTGGTCTTGACATGGGTGGTAAGAGGGGCAGAGAGAGGGAGAGGAGACTGATTTCCCTTTATTCTCATGGTAAGGTTTCCCATATTTGGGCAATCAGTCCTAAGTGCCTTCAGACTCATTTCCCCATAACACAGATGTGCAAATCCACTCTGCATAGCCAATAGGTGATGACTCTAAAAAATTTAGCCCACTCCTCTGCTCTGCAGCCTATGACAGTTGCTCACACCTAACAAAATGAGTTTAAACTCCTAATCTTGGTATATAAAATCCTTTACAGTCTGGCCCCAATATACTTAACCCACACACACCAGTCTTAGCTAGGCTCCTGTCTTTGACCCTCCTCCACACTAACCTCAATGTCTCCTCTCTGATACCAGACTTGGTGACGTCCCTCTCCATAGCAGGCTCCCTGACACCCCCTCCCCACACACACCAGGCTCATCGCCCCTTCTATATGTTTGCTCTGTGGTTCCCTGGACTGAAATGTCGTATCTTTACCTATGTGAACCCTATTATCCCTTCAAGGCTCAATCTGGTCCTGTTCCTTCTGTCTCCTTCAGACTGTAAGTCTCCTGAGCGCAAGCCTTGGCTTATTCTCTGACTCCCCTGGACCACAACCTCCTTGAAGACAAGCCTTTTTCTCTATCTCTGCACTCTTTTTCCCATTTCCACCCCTTTCTCTCCAAGACTGTGGGCCCCTCCAAAGCAAGGATGGCTTTATTCCTTCTCTCATTTTAGCCTGGTTCAGCTCTGGGTATTATTTTTAATGAGGATAATTGAATTGAATTGAATTGAATGCAAGTGAGGGAGTGATGGAGACCAGAGGTACAGAACTACAAACAGCTGTTTGGTTGTGGTGGTGAGGTGCTGCCAGGGACTGAGAGGCCTTCAGGCCTTTTCTCTCTGAAGGAGCTTGTGAATGGAGGGGTCTTTTGGAAGCCCTTGTGGGTGGGAGCTTGGGCTTTTGGGAGGGCATAGCTGAGGAAAGGAACCCCATTGCTGGGCCACTGAGGCCTCACTAGGGACTTACTTAGTCCTGGGCAATTTGGGCCCTGCTTCTACTTACCCTCCCTCCTCCTTTTCAAAACATTTAGGGCAGATGTCAGAGGACAGCATGATAGAGGACTGGGATTCCAATCCTGGATCTTTTACTTATTATATCAGTAACCCTGAACAAATCAACTAACCTCTGTGGACTTCAATTTCTTTACCTATAAGATGAGACAGTTGGCACTAGATTATCTCAAAAATGCCTCCTAATGCTAAAGCTTTTATCCTATGGCTCAAATTGGGATATCCTGGGAAGTGGCAGGGCAGGGTCTGTCCCCTTGGATAGAAGCTCAGACACTGGGATGGGGTCAGAGAATCAGGGGCTTGTCTACAATAGCCAAGGAGGTGATCAGGCACAGCAGGGAGCAGGAGAGGGGCGCTCGTTGGGGAGAGACTCAGTCAGAAGATCAGCATAAACAACAGGAAGGAAATCAGTCAGGAGCATCCCAGAGTCAGGACTCATCCGCCTTGGACACAATGCTGCCACTCATCACCCCTTTAGTTTCCTACTGTCAAGATTGCCAGAGGCACTGGGCCTCCCCTCTTCAGCTGCCCTGAACAAGCACCAAGGACCAAGACCCCGATCGTCTCTCACTCACCACCGTGTCTCCCCACTGTCTACATTATCTTTCTCTTCTCTCTTCTCTTCTCTTTTCTCTTCTCTTTCCTTCCCTTCTCTCCCTTTTCTCTCTCTTCTCTGTTTCTCTGTCTTCTCTCTCTGTCTCTCTGACTCTCACTGTCTCTCTATCTCTCTTCTTCTCTCTTGTCTCTGTTTGTCTCTCAGTACTCTGATCACATTATTCCTATGCTCCAAAAAAGTTTCCATGTCTCTCTTTTGCCAATGTTCAAATTCTTTAGCTTGGCATTTAAGGCCCTCCCAACCTACCTCTTCAGCCTTATCTCTCACTACTCAATTTTATGTACCTTACACTCTAGTCTGGTCAATCTCCCCACTGTTCTCTGAACATGGCTCATGCTTTAATGATTATATCCTTACTCCCTCCCTCAAATGACCTCCTCCCCTTCAAGGCCCATCTCGGGTCCTTCCTCCACAAAGTCTCCTCTGATCACCACAAGGTACAGTTAGGTAGGGTAAAGGTCAGAATGAAGGTTGGGGCCTGGGTGCAGATTAGAGTCAGGGCCAGGGTCAGGAATGTGGTAATGGCTGACGTCCGTCCTGAGAGGTGATACTCACAGGCTGCGCCTGGAGAACATCTTGCAGGGGGTCCAGGGCCTCCACTGCCACTGGATGACATCAGGTGGTGGTGCCCCATACACAGTGCAGGTGAGGGCCTGGCGGCTGTGGCGGGAGTATATGCTGGGTGAAGATGCCTCCTTCTCAAGGATATGGGGAGGAACTGCGGACAAAAGAACAGACAGATGACGCAGGAGTTAAGGACACCTATAGGCTTACCCCATTGGCTTGTGCAGCCTCCCCTCCTCTGCCCATCTCCAGCTTTTCCACTATAACTTCCACTGTCATGAGGTGTGTGTGTGTAGAGGGCTGGCTGGCCAGGGGAACTCCCAGAAACTAGTCAGGATACGTCTCAGGGGCCACTCAGTCCTGAGTATCTGTGTGTGTGCATGTGTGTTTAGGGTGGATTTGACTCTAACTCTCACCCACATTCCTTTGGGGCATTCACTCCTCCCCCATCAAATAATGTCCCCTACCTCCACCCAACCCCCATTCTTCTCCTTTTCAGCTCCTCTTCTACTGTCCTTCCACTGCCTTGTTAGTTCTCCTCCCCTTGGCGGCATTTTCCCCTGCAGCCCTGGCCCTCATCCCAGCCTCTCCCTGTCCCTCATTTCCTTTTCTACCATCCATTCCTCTGCCTCTACTAGTTCCACTCCCCTGCCCACATCTGGTTTGCCCCATGCTAGCCTGGTCCAGCCCCTCTCCCTTGGCTCATACCGTTCACTACCAGCTCCAGGCTGATTTCGCGTCTCAGGCCAGCCTGCCTGTTCCACAATGCCAGGGTGTAGGTGCCTGCATTCTGTTCTGTCACCTCCTTGATCACTACTGAGTGCGGAGACTGGCGCCCCGGGACAGGCTTCCCATCCTTGTACCTGGAGGCATAGGGGAGCTCAATCCTGCACCTGCTGGTATCAGAGGCTCACCCTGCCCCACCCTTGCTCCTGCAGGGGTCATGTTGAGTATGGCCCTGGTTCCAGACTGGGCTGAAGGGAACCAGAAGATCACAGATAGAGAGCTGAAAAGGACCTTAGAGGTTATTTAATCTAACCCCCTCATTTTACAAATAAATGAAGGCCAGAGAGGAGGTAACGTCAATTGGCCAAAATCATACCATTATTGGTGCCAGGGCTTTTCAGAAGGAGTTTGGATGAGCCTCATCAAAGTGTGGCCAAGTAACCCCAGTTGCTCCAGATATGCACATGCACCTCCCTTATCCTCTTAAACCAGGATATGATACTGCCACTGAATCATCCAATTGTATTTTCTGGTCTCTGGGACACCTCATCACACACATTTCCTTAGGCACTTAGAGGTGGCCTTGGTATTCAAGACAGAGTTGATGTTGTTCCTCCTTCATTCTCAAAGAGGACCAGTGACATCATGAGGATGATGTCTTGACTTGTGAATGAATTGGATTTAAGTGAGGCAGAGCTGCACAAAGTCATCAGCCTCACTCTCTCCTCCAGAGTCATCAAAGTCCAGTGACAAGACAAAAGTCAAGAGGCCTAGCAATGGCCTAGGATGCAGGGGTGATCTAGGCCTATCTAAATTAAGGTCTTTCCCAGGTCTCAGTTTGTCTGGGGCAACACCCATTCAATGACTAAAGGCTAGGTAAGAATTGGGACAAAAGATACAGTCAGAAGTAAACCCAGTGTAATTGGCCTAAACCAGAAGTAGAGCTATAAAAGCAACAAGAAAGATGGTCCCCTTCACAGAGGCCACTCTGTATAGTGGATAGAGTACAGTCCTGGAATCAAGATGATCTGAGTTCAAACTTAGCCTCAGAGGCTTTCTAGTTGTGTGCCCTTGAGCAAGTCTCTTAATCTGTCTGCCTTGGTTTCCTCACTTGTAAAATGGGGATAAGAATAGTATCTATCTCCCAGGGTTATACTGATCATCAAATGAGATAATATTTGAAAAAATGTTTAGCATAGTGCCTGGCACATAGCAGGTGCTAGAATATACTGTTAGAACAAACTCTTCTCTGGCAAGGAAGGAGTTATTTGCTGATTGCTCAGGAAAATGCTACCTGTTCATTGATGGTGGTGTGGGAATATTTCTTTGTCAGGCTAAAGAAACATCATGTTTGTGTTTCATGAGGGCACAGAAGAGTGCTCAGAGCCTGGTAGAGGCCAGCCTGGGAAAAGGGTCTGGTGGCTGTGTTGCCCAAGTGATTAGGGAATCATATAATGAATGAATAAGCTCCTTGAGGGCAAGGATAGTTTTATTTTTGTCTTTATATTCCCAATACCAAGTACGGTGCCTGGCACATAGCAGTTGCTTAATAAACGCTCGCTAATTGATTGATGGGGATAATAAAGCATTTATGAAATATTTACCATATGCCAACCACTGTGCTAAGCACTGTATATATAGATACAAGCAAGGCAAATAACTTACATTCTAATGGAGGAAGCCAACCTATAAAGGGGAGCAACAACTGATTGTTTGAGTAGGGGCATATAACACAGTTCAGACGGAGTAAGGCCAAATCTGTGCCAAATGTGAAGGCTGGGATGGCTCTTCTGGTGAAGTGGAAGTTGCAATGAAGCCTGTGCCCTGAAAGCACCTGGAGGTTGAAATTATCAGCAGTGACTGTCCATTAGAAATTACCTTTAATAAAGCCATGTGTCTCATGGGTTGTCGTGGCCAAAGAGACACCACTGACCTTCTAGTGGATGAACTGAACTGTCATTATTGTTGTTCTCATGGTAAATGAACCCGAAGGCAAGGAAGTTGCAGCTAAATGGAATAATGGCTTACATGGACTACCTGAAGAGTCAAAGGGATTGATGGTGTCGGTAAACGTCATTCATAGGACACTTGTGGTCTTGTCTTACAACACTGATGATGAATATAAGAAAAAGTCGGTCATGAAGATAATCGCTGCTTACGTATCAATATCTGGTGCAAAAGATGAGAAAGCTGGGGTATTCTCTGAAGAAATTAATCATCTGAAGACGCTTCAAATTAGGCCAACCTACAGTTTGAGATTTAATGATTTCAATGCAAAGATGGGCACATAGGATGTCAGAAAATGTGATTCAGATTTGAGAAACTAAAGACTCCAAAGGCTTGTAGAATACTCAGAAATCTTAAATACTAATTTTTTTTTTTCCAGGAGAGAGTCCAAAGGTGCTGTTGTCCGTCGTCTCAGTTGTGTCCGACTCTTTGTGACCCCATTTGGGTTTTTTTTTTAACAAAGATACTGAAGCTGTTTGCCATTTCCTTCTCCAGATCATTTTACAGATGAGGAAACTGAGACAAACAGGGTTAAGTGACTTGCCCAGAGTCACACAGCTAGAAAGTGTCTGAGGCTGGATCTGAATTCAGGTCTTCCTGACTCCAGACCAGTGCTCTATCCATCGCACCACCTAGCTGCACCCAAAGGTGCTAGATATAGTGTATCCAGAACATCAACATGAAAAAAAGCTGATTCTATCTTATGAGAAAAGAAATAATTGCTTATTGATGTTTAGTCATATGAAATTCAGCAGTCTGTGCAGTCCAATACTATGGAGGAAGATGATGGAAGATTCTAGGTAAGATTGCCTATTTAACAAAAGTTAAAAACGGAAAATAAAAACAAATATACAGAAAGCCTGGACTAAGTTGCATCATTCCAAGGAAATAATACAATTTTTTCTTAAGTGTATCAGTCAATTATTCATTTTAAAATGTTTTGAACGTGTGAAAAATGAGTTTCCTGTAGACATTTTACCTTGCCATTCATTCAAAGATGAAAGTGGAAATGAGAGCAACACAAAGAGTGAATTGCCATAGTGCATCCATGTGCATCCAGTGCAGCATTGCTGCAGTGATCACTTCATCATCAGTGGCAATGGCATCAGCATATTTGGGCCCTGACATTTCAATATGCAATGTGCTACACGAGGAAGTGGAAATGGCCCTTAGGAAGACGGAATCGGCAAGAGTGGCTGGACTGGCCTAAGTAAGTACACACCGAGAGAATCTTTGCTGGGGATAATGCAGTCTTAAAACCATTGTGGGACTGTTTTTACAAAATATCTCAGGAGGGGAGAGGTGCTCAAAAGGAAGAGGAAAAGTCATGGACAAGAGGACGCTAATAACAGCTAAACCATATGCCTATTCTCTCATGTTTACAAAATCTTTATAAGAATGATCTATGCACATATTAAGGGTACCCTTGATGAAAATATAAGAAGGGAACGAGCAGGTTTCCTTGAATGGATGTTCCATAGCATACCACACCTTGACAGTCACGCAGTTGACTGGTGCAAAGAACATTACCAAAATTTTTTTGATTTGGTTGAGCAAAATGCAACCTTTCAAGATGCTCTTCTGCACATACACACCTTGGGACTGTACACAATTCTCTGATAAATGCAACAACACAAAAACATTGTTCAATGAGCCTCTGATTATTATTAAGTACAGCTGTACAAAAAGAGATATTATGCTATATCTGCCAGTGTTACAGACGAGGTTCCTTGCAGGGTCCAGGCTGAAGAGAGGTTCCCCGTAGATGAGGAAGTCCTCCACATGACATTGTGCAGTTTATTGCATCAAGCTCCAGAACATGAAAAGAAAGAGCCTCTTTAATGGAATCCATGATTACTCAAAAGAAATCAGTATATAGTAGGGGTGAGTAAACTAGGCCTGGGGACCCAATCCAGCTCTCTGCCTCTTTTTGTATGGTCCCCAGCTAAGAAGGTTTTGCATCTGAAAACAAAGTTTAATACAAAAACAATTCTTAGGTGGGGGGGGGTGGGTAGTGTACAAAAAGGTGGGTTTGGCTCCTAGACCAACTTTGCAGACTCCTTGGTCTATAGGAAAAAGGCAAATGGATGAAAATGCTTGTTATTCAAACTATGACACACACACGGAAGGACAGTCCATTGAATCTCTATATCAGGGAGTATATCTGTAGTCACTGCAGAAGGCCAACGATTTGGGCACAGTGTGGAATAGGAGAAAGAGAGCCCATTGGATTGCACTGGGGAAACTGTGCAGTGCTTTAAACTATCCCAAGCTGCAATCCAGCATAAAACTCCCATCTTTTCAACATCAATGGTCTCCAAGAGATGCAAGGTGGATGCAAGTGGACTTCAACATATTTCAATAAAGCCTCCTATGGAAGATGTAGTAAAAGGCTTATGGACAAAGAAAGGTATCATCAATAAAGGCAGTGGGGACCCAACCATGAAGTAGGAGTGAGGGATCACAGATGGACACACTGAATGCTGCAATGGAACCCATGGGATATACAGTGCCCTGGAAGAAGACCTCCTGCATATCGAATAGATCCTCTGTGAAGGACCTATGGGAGAGCATAAGCAAGAATCATGTAAGATGAGCAAGTATGGATGGGTCTCCATCTGCACTGATGGAGAGAATACTTACATTGGTGAGATCATAGAGCCCTTGAAATAAGCTTATATGCAAGCATAAGCAAATGTGGTCACTCTGTTGTATGAAATTAGAAGGCAACCAATCATCTGCCATAACTGTTGTCAATAAGTTGTATTAGGTTAATTTCTGTTAGACTGTGAGCTCCTCAAGGGAAGAGATTGTATTTTTTTTCATATTCATATTTCTGGAGTTTAGCATGGAGCCTTGCATAGAGCAAGCACTTGATAGAAAATCTGTTGAGTTTATAGAAGGGATTCCTGTACAGGAGGAAAGCTGGACTACTTACTAATTAGTATTAATCCTCATTTTACTGGTGAGAAAATTGAAGCATAGAGAGCTGATGTGACTTGCCCAAAGTTATTCAACTAGTAAGTGTCAAGCCTGGAATTTGAATCTTGGTTTTCTTGACTCCAAGTTTCATTCTCTTTACCATAATAGATATTGTTGGAAGCTCAGAATAGCAAGAAGACTTTGGAGACAGTGAAAGAGACTCTGATTTATTTAGCAGTTTTAAGAGGCTTTTCAGAAAGGTGTGGCAAAATAAATTCTTATTCTACTGAACTGAAATGGTGCATCAGCGGCTGATTTGGCTTGTTTCTTTACAAGAATATGAGTGGTAAACATGCTATAATATAGCCCAGTAGAAAATTAATTAAGAAAATGAGTTTGTCTTTTATATACGAAGAATGTCTAGTCATCACTTGGATCTTGTATACACCCACACATCTTTTTGGCCAAGTGTTCATATCATGGGCAGTTTATTAAGACCTAACATGGTTAAAGGCTCTGTAGAATACAAAAATGACTACGGAAGGGCTTTTACGTAAACATTCAGTGTGTGCCAGAATATGAAAATAGTGTTTACAAAGTAATGGAAAAGTGTCAAGTGGGTAGGAAGGCACAGGATGGACTAGAGAGGGCCAGGATCTTTGAAAAGAGCCTGATTCAGCCAATGAAGGAGAAAAACCTGGTAGCCTTCCTTCAGAAGAAAGTAAGTGGTTAGATAAGTGAAACTTATAACAGTTTAGTAATGATCAGGTTACAGATTTTGTACTTAGGTGTTTGTATTTCTTTTAATACTTTGTCTTATTGTGTTATTTTGCTTATTAGAAGAAATTAGAAGTTAGTGTTATTTTCCTAATAGAGACATATTTGTGGGAAAAACACAGCTAAGTAGTCATGAGCTATATCACCTTCTCTCAGTTATCTATTCCCGAAGAAAAATTCGCTTTTAGACCTCTGCTAAAATAAACAGGGACCATTTGGAGGCAGTTTCCCAAAGTTTAGACAAAGTACTTGGAAGGACCCTATCACCTTCCATAGGGCAGGCTTGACCCCTCTAACCAATTTTACCGAAGGAAGCATCAAAGGGGATATGAGAGGCTGGGATTTGAGATGACTGGGGTGTGATACGGGATTGGATATGAGGGGGCTAGTATATCAGTAATCCACTCTCTCCTGGGCTCTGCCACATCCTGTGTTGCACAAAGGGGTACAATTAGAATTAACTCTCATGCCTACTGGGCAAGACTTCCTATCTATGTGCCTGATCCTGGCTTGCAATGAGGAAGTGCTGTCTCTGATCTCCTCAGATCTCCAATTTGCCCCTTCGAGCTCTGGAGGTTCCCACAAAGAGGGGTAGTATGGCTGAGGTTAAGGAGCTAAGGCACCAAGGGGAATCCAAGGGTGTTTTGGGAGGCAGGAAGGAGGTTACCATTGGAACTCTGGTGGGGGGTATGCTGCCACCTTCACTGGAAGTTTCACCAGCTCATCTCCTGCTGTGGCCTCGATCACTGGGCCCTTCAGCCAGTCCACACTAATGAAGGGTTTGTCTGTGAGATGGAGAGAACAAGAGTGAGGCAAATATCTTGATCATGCCCACAGATGAATTCTTACTCATTCTTTTAAAGCCCAACTCAAATGCTAGCTCTTCCAAAAAGAAATGTCTTATTCTCCACTATACTGTAAGTCCCTTGAAGGCAGGAACATATTTTATCTAAGCTTCTAGCACTTGACACAATTCTTTGCATAAGTGCATATGTGTTTGTTAATTGGCTTTTAATGACCATGAAATTCCTTACCAGCCTTATAAGGGAAAAAAGCTCTTTAACCTTGCTGAAGTATGAAGAATGGAAACACTGGCCTAGAGAAGGATCAAAGAGCAGGGATGCTGGACAGGGAAAGTAGACTTGAAAGCCAAGTCCCTGGGAACGGATATAGACTGGAGACACTAGGAAGAGACATGGAATAGAGATGCAGAGCCCATCTCCAAAGAAGACAACAGAACTGGAACACAGAGAAGGCACATGGGATAGAGTCACTAAGGTGAGTCAGCAAGCAGGGACTCTATTCCTTTATGTCATTCACAAACACAGATATATACACACACACACACACATATACATATGTGTGTATGTCTGTAGGAATACATATAAATGCATACATACACATTCATATATATATATGTATATATATATATATATATGTATATATATATATATATACACACACACACACACACAGACACACACACACAGAGGCCTCAACAAAGGCTTCTGTTGAATGAATGAATGAATGAATGAATGAATGAATGAACGCATACATTGATGGACAGGTTAGGGATCTGCAGCCTTTACAGCTATGGGCAGCACACATACCTGCAGCTCTGAGGTCTTACTAGGGGGAGGGTTAGGGTGGGGCTGAGGCGGAGGGACAGCCTTCTCTGTGGGTCTCCCTTCCTTCTCTCCCCTTCCAAATACTGCTCCCATGGGCCTATCCTCTCCCCCAAGACCCCGCTTGTAGCCGTACCATGCACGATGACCTCAGTGCTCTGCCTGAAGCTCTGGACACCATTGCTGGCTTCACATACATACTGGCCCAGGTCTTGTTGGGTCACGTTCTGGATGACCAGGATGCTAGATAGTTCTGTGTGCGTCTGTTGGGAGCGGCGCTCAGGTGTCACTGCCCCAGCTCGTTCTGTCTGCCAGTGGGAGGGAACAGGAGAGGTTAGCACCCTGCCTCTGCCCCTCCCCTAACTCTGATATCCTGTTTTGTTCCCAGGGGAGAAGGTCACCAGGCGGTCCCTCATTGTTGTTTGTCCTTTGTTCTCGAAGAGGACCAATGACATCAGGAGGGTGATGTCTTGACTTGCAAATGCAATAGATTTAAGTGAGGCAGAGCCATGCAGAGTCATCAGCCTCACTCTCTCCTGCAGAGTTGCACAGCCCCACTGCCCTCAGATGAGTGGTGGTGGGGAGGTCCCTTGGACTGGACAGGAGAGAGCTATGAGGGAAGGACTAGGACAGCTGTCTTTTTTGAAGAAGGAATACCTAAGAAATAGGTCATGTAGGGTTTCCTCAGGAGTCTGAATTCAGTCCTTGGTGTGCCCCTTATATTGTGTGATCCACCAGCATCTCCTCCCAAGGGAGTCTCCCATAGACTCTAATGGCCTACAATTCTATAGGGAAGTTGGCCCAAGAAGTGTGGAAAATTTTTGATAATAAAATTTAACACAAATGATTTCAGTGCAGTAAAAAAGAGCAAATTGCTTAAAAATATAATTGTGGCTGCACCAAGATCTCAGAAGTCAACTCAGAAAAAAGAAATAACATAGGAAATGGGAACAAGAATGAATAAAATGAGAGAATGAATAACATGAGTGGTGTGGTCCTGTAGGAAAAGTCTCAAAAGTGGTAAAGCTCAGAATGAGCTGAGGATACAAAAACAACTTCTTTTTTCTGTTATATAGGGAATAAGAGAAAGAACCAAGAGATAGAATGGTTACTGACTGGGGTAGATAATGAAAATGAATGACCAGAAGGTAGAACTCCTTAACATTTATTATGATTTTTTTTTCTTTTACTAAGAAAAAGATTTTCTGATTGGAAAGAATAGATTTGTTTTTACTTATCATATGACTCGTTTTTGTTGTTGTTAATATATTTAAGATTTCATTTTTTCCCAAATGACATATAAAAACAACTTTTAACATTAATTTTTTAAAATTTTGAGTTCCAAATTCTCTCCCTTCCTCCTCTCCCCCTTCATTGAGAAGAAAAGCAATTTGACACAGGTTATACACGTGCAGTCATGCAAAATATATTTCCATATTAGTCATATTGTGAAAGAAAACACAGACCAAAAGAACTCCAAGAAAAATAAAGTAAAAAAATATGCTTTGATCTGCATGCAGATTCTATCAATTGAAAGAATAGACTTTCCAAAAGGTTTACAGGGAGCCAAATCTCAAGAAAAGTGAGGAAATGGTAAAAAAGCCTCTAGTTATCCTTAATTAGTTCAAGTCATTAGGCTTGAACCAACTATAACCTAGGGTGTTGAAAGAGCTAAGCCACTGTAAGTGATGTATCAACAATCATGGAGGAGAGAGGATCAGAGGTGGGGGGAACATGTCATATACATTTAAATTTTTAAAAATATATAAATATAATTTATTTAAATTTAAATTTAAAAGTATAAAAATATCTATTTTAGAAAGTGAAGAGGACATAGTCTTAAAAATACAGTTTTGGTATTATTAAGGGCATGACTTGTGATTATTTAGAATGGGAAGAAATAATCATCAAAAATTGGTACGAGTCATCAAGAACAGATTCATGAAGAACCTCATTTCTTTTTTTGATATAATTATTTGGTTGGTAGATCAAGGGAATATCACAAACATAATATGCTTGAATTTCAATAAGGCATTTATAAAAAGTTTTTATGAAATGATGAGGAATTGAAAGGCACTAAGCAACTGGTGGCGTCCATAAGGATAAAGAAGGAGGGTAGATGTTATGATGGGGCTTCAAGGAATCAAGCTATGCACCTCTGACATTTCCAGAGAGAACATTCATTGTCATCCCCTGGTGCCTTGGTAACTTTCCTTAGTTTTTCAGTTTCTCTAGATGTTCCACCTTGTTGGCCACAGCATAAAGCTAAGAAACCCTCTCTAGGGCTGTTTACTGCTTAAGGGATGGGGAGGAGGAGAGGAGGCATAGGAGAAGGAGAAGGAGGAGTAGGAGGGGAGAGGAATGCCAGGGCAGGACTGGGATGAAATGTCCTGTCCCCTAGAGAGATTAGGAGGATTGGGGCTTGGGAAGGAGTAATGGATGATGAAGATCAGCAACAGAGAGAAGAGCTGGGAGTCATATCCTGGGTTTAGAGGAGAGAAGAATATTGGTTATACAGGGACTGGCCTGGGAGTGAGAAGTGCTCTAGAGTTTCCTTTGGCCAGTAGCCTGCAGATCCAGAAATCAACCTACTAGCACTTACTAATTGCCTATCATGCCTAGCCTCTGTGCTCAGTGCTAGGGAAGCAAAGACAAAATTGAAATAGTCTTTGCCTTCAAGGACATTCTACTCTCTCAGTCCTCACATCATGTCTGCAGCCTGAGATGCTCTAGGCCTCAGAAATCCAGGAGAGTACCAGGAACTCCAGAGAATGAGTCAGGGAGTGGGGTCCTGGACAGAACTGAGCTGAAGGAGGCAATCCTTATAGGCTTCCTGGGAGCTACTGGCTTGGGGTTTGGAGATGGACAAGATAGACAAAGGCAGAGATAGTGACAATACTGAAAGGAGGGCTCTAGTGGGCAGAGGAGAGTATGGAGAGAGAGAGAGAGAGAGAGAGAGAGAGAGAGAGAGAGAGAGAGAGAGAGAGAGAGTGAGAGTTGAGTCAGAGTGATAGAGTGGGGAGGCAGTGTGGTCTAAGCCTTAGACTCCAAGGGAAAGAGCCATGGCCCTGGAATTAGAAGACCTGGGTTCAAATATCACCTCTGGTGCCTATCACCTGTGCAATCATGGGTAAATTACTTCATCTCCTTGTGCCTCAGTTTCCTCATCTGTAAAATGAGGAGGTTGGACAAGATGGCTTCTTCTTGCTCTAGCACCGACTTTATGAACAGTCAGAGAACAGTCAGCAGGAGATGAGAGGGACACTGAAGTAGAATCCCTGGTTGGCAATGCTGAGAAACATGTATTAGCTTCCTATGATGCTAGGTATTTGATGGACATGATGGGATGGGGGCCGTGCCAGGGGGACTGTCAAGAAGAAACTTCTCCTGGATTGGGGGATCTCTTTTGGAAAGGAACCTGACCATGTGGAACAGCAGCATGGATGAATGGATAGGGAAGTAGACTTGGGGTCAAGAAGACCTGAGTTCATATCCTGCTTCTGATGCTTACTAGCTGGCTTTGGAAAAGTAATTTAACTTTTCCGTGTCTTGGTTCTCTTGTGTGTAAACAAAGGGGTCGGACTCACTTACTCTAAGGTCTCTTTCAGCTCTAAGATTATGATTCTGCGGTGAGTGCTAAGACTATGGTGGTGCCAACTAGCACATTCATTGTCAGTTGGCCCAGGACAGGCTATTTCTAGAGTTCTATAATACAGTAAGAGAGGTAGTTTTTTGTTTGTTTTAGAATGTTTCATCAGTGAGGGAGCAAGTAATTGAATTAGCCTTCCTTGATGAAGGAGCAAGGGATGTTGCTAAGTCTGAGCCTTTTGTGTGAGCCTCAGTTTCCTCACTTGTAAAATAAGCATAATGCATAAAAAGCATTGCCCTAGCGAGACTGTTGTAATGTTGAAATGACATAATATATATATATATATAAGAATTTTGTAACCATACAGTAAAACAGAAATGTGAGGAATCATTATTACTTTTACTAATTTTGGGGAGGTATGGACCTATGATTTCATTGGTATATGACACTCCCAATGAGGAAGCTTCTTTATACCAATGTGAACTGACACCTATTCTGTAACTTATAAGCCACAGACTACAGAAAATTGGTTTGGGGCAAAGAGAGAGTAAGTGACTGGGCTAGGACCACACTTCCAGTATGTGTCTGAAGTAGAACTGGAAACCAGGTCTTCGTGACTCTGAGGCTAGCTCTTTCTATCTTCTATTCACCTTGGCCTTCATGATTAGTCATTAGTTATCATATTAGTTATAGAAACGTAACTGCATCAGAAAATAATTAATATGACACCAATTATTAACTAATCCAATATGGGTTACACCAATGGACATAATAATGATTATACAGCTCTATTAATTATTATTACTATAACTTAAGAAAATAGAGTTTGGGCTTTCCTGTGAAGAGCGAATGTTTAATTTCAATCTCTCTTGCCTCCTGAGACCGATGTCATGATCCACATGAACGTGGAGGTTACTCTACAGAGCAAGGTATTGGTGGACGTGGCATGATTTGAGGGACCTGGACAAAGAGAATTCCCAGGTGATAAATGCTCCTTACCAAAGGGAAGGGAAGTGGGCATAGAAGGTGTGGAGGAAGGGGACCAGAACCACGGCGGGGAGAGGGATGGTTGTGATAGATCCGTGGGGAGCAGAGCCCTATCCATTCCATGGAGACGTACCAAGGAAGGGCCAGCCCACTTTGGAGAAGGATAAGCTAGGGGGTTCCACTGGACCACGAAGGATTGGAAAGAAGAGGGAGGCTAACCTGCTTCCCAGGATAATCCCATTGGAAGGTGACTCCTGAGTTGAACTCAGCCCACACGGTACAGTTCAGGACAAGCTTCTCCCCCACCAGCAGCTCCAAGGCCTTCTTGGGATACAGCTGAATGTCATATAGCTCATTCCCTGAGGGACACAGGCAAACACATAACCCAGTAGTAACACAGAGCATACAAGACACCACATATGATGAATAACATAAAACATATAACACACAGTTGACTCAGTAATACAACAAAGTAATGGAGCACAAGACAATTCTTACAACACATAGCACATATGACCAATATAGTAGATGGAAAGATGCATGCATGCATGCACGCACACAGCAATATGCACAAATATTCACACACACACACAGACACATGCATATATAAAATGGCTCCAAAACCCTAGTTCAGGTTCAGTCCCTGGGGCTGCCTTCTAATCCCTCCTCTTCCCTGCTAGCCCCATATCCAATACCACCAGTGCCAGGGCTGTGAGCCCCAGCAGAAGTGAGGAACACACCTCTCTTCCTGGTTTCAGGGACTGGGGATGGTTTCCATGGTTCTCATTTTGATGGTACCTCACAAACAAGGGCTTGGGGCCAAGGTAGGAGTGAGCCCCTCTGGAACGGACATGAATACTCTATGGTCTGGCAGGAGTAAGCTGTTCCCATCATACCAGTGATATGGATGACGAAGAAGTTGGAATGGAAGGTTCGGCCCCGGATGATGGTCTCACAATGGAGGAGCAAGGTGTCTCCGAGGAGTGGCGTGGGCACCAGCATTCCCCTCCTGTCATTCCACACGATCTCTTGTCCATCTGGTCGGATTACCCTGATTTGCTAGGGGTGGGGCGGATTGTCAGGGGCTGGCTGCCTCTCCCCTCCCCACCATAACTGAGGGGCAGCTGGAGCCATGGCCTCTCCTCCAGGAATGGTCACTAGACACTTCCAGCTCTGATTCACTGGGACAGGAAACCCTGGGCAGGGAGGAGGTATTTGGAGCAGGACAAGGGACATAGGGGGTGGTGGTGAGAAAGGAAGAAAGGGAGTGGTGATTCATACCGAATGTAGAGTGACGTTGAGGTCCGGGATGGACACCAGGCAGGGTACCCACGTGTGGTCCTTGCTGACCAGGAGAGTGCCTGCCCTGTTGATGAAGGGCTGCTCGAAGTCTGAGGCCAAGGACAGCCATCCGCCGAGGAAGAGGGAGAGAGGAGACATGAAGAAGTGGAGAGAAAAGAAAGAAGTAGAAGAGGGAAAGGAGAGAAGGTTGAGGAGGAGGGTAAAAGAAGAGAGAAAGAAAGAGAGGAATGAAGGAAGAATAAGGAGAAGGATGGGTATGAAATGGAAGAAGAGGTGGAATGTAACAGGATAGAAGAAGGAAAGGAAGGAGAGGAGGCAGAGGAGGGAGAAGGAAGAAGAAAAGGAGGAAGGAAAAGGAGGAAGAGGAAAAATAAGACTTGCTGAGTGTCTGGATGGATGAGTAAGGTGGCAGGGAGAGGGTCCAGGGCAGGGATAGCGTGCCAAACCTCAAGTCATGTCCCCATGTTCAGATCCCCATCAGCCATGGGCCTTCATGGGCATAGCTGGGTTTTCACATTGATTTTCTCCAGTTGAGTTCTGTCTTGCTATAGCCCAAGTCCCCCTTCTGTACTGAAACAGGGAGGTTGGAGTTCCCTGGTTTGATATGACAGCTATAGGATAAGTACTATAGTAACCAGATTGCTTGTTGTCTTAGGATGGGAGGATGCAAGGGGAGAAAAAAATGTGAAAACTCAAAATCTTATAAAAAATGAATGTTGAAAGCTATCTTTATATGTAATTGGAAAAAATAAAATATTATTTACCAAAAAATAATAAAAATTTTTAAAAAGCTATGTTGGGCTTTGAAAAACTTAAGACCGCTGATCAATACAATGATCAATCATAATTCTGGAAGACCATAATTAAGCAGCATTCTTCTCATTTTTTTTTTGGGTAAGGCAATTGTGGTTAAGTGACTTGCCCAGAGTCACACAGTTAATGAGTGTTATGTGTCTGAGGCCGGATTTGAACTCAGGTCCTCCTGACTCCAGGACCAGTGCTCTATCCACTGTGCCACCTAGCTGCCCCCCCTTCTCATTTTTTGATTGAAATCCGATGGACTAGAGGTGCAGAATGCGACTTGCATTTTCGGATTAAGTTAATTTATGGATTTGTTTTCACTATGCAAACTTGTTATAAGATAAGGGTTTTTAATTTTTTTGGTGGAAAGAAGTTTTTTTGGTTTTGCTTTTTTTTAATTTTTTTGAGAAAGGATTAGTGATGGTGATATTCTCTCTCTCAGAAGAAGAAAAGATTAAAAAGCATCAGCAAAGCCTTTTTAAAGATGCACAACATAAGAAAGAGAATGGGATAGCTTTGCAACTGTTGAATTTAATACTTAAAACAAGTTATATGTAATAGAGATTAATATTTTCACACATAACACTCTTTTTCTCTCCTCTGTATATGGAAATGTTCATGTTATTGGTGTTTGTCAACATTGGAATAACAAAAAATAAAATTTTAAATAAAAAAATGAAAACAGAAATCATAGAGAATGGGAGATATAACATGGCAACAACTGGATGCTATCTCAATTTTTGAAAAAGGGGAAAAAAGAGTCCAGAAGTTATGAAAAGGGGAGGTCAATGTAAAAATCTAAAAAATTCCAGAAAGGATTGTTAAAAGGACGGTCTATGAGCATTTAAAATTCAAAGATCATTAGGAATCAACATGGATTGATTAACAGCTGCCAAACTAACCCCATTTTAAAAAACATGCTTGTGGAGTTAACAAGCATTTATCAAGCACTTACTAGGTGCAGCTACTGTGCTAAGTGCTGGGGACAGGCAAAAGGTTTGTTAGATCAGTAAGACAGTAACATACTTTGATTTTAGCAAAAGATTTGAACACTCTTGTGAATCAGATGAGGAAATGTGGCCTGGATGACAGTACAATTAGGGAGATTTGAAGCTGGTCTCCCTTCAATATATTTATGAATGACTTAGGTAAAGGAAGGCATTGAAAACAGATTTATTAGTTCTGCAGATGGCTCAAAGCTAGGAGAGAGAGACTCAAAATGATCATGACAAGCAGGAACACTGTTGAAATGATCAAAATGAAATCGAACTGGGCTGGGTCACCTGCCAGTTTGTGGTGCTGGACTCTCCCTTAAATGAGTTACAAACCTGAGGGGGCATGAGACTTGCCCTCAACTCCCAAGTTGTTGCTGGGCAGTGTTGGGATATGGGAACTCAAGATTTCATTAGAAGGCAACTATCCTATCACTTAGGATTGTGCTGTCGCTATACTAGTCAGAAATTATTACCAAAATCAGGGAGACAAGACCAGAGACAAGGCAGCAGCTGCTTCCGAGAACGCTAGGAAAGGCATTAGACTTTCTACTAATCTAAAGCTACCTAAAAAAAGCAGGGAGAACAAGAGACTCTGGGCTGGTGTTTGTAACAGCCTGGCCCATTATGATAAGTTTGTAGAGATGACTGTCTAGGAAAGAGAGAAAGAAAGAGAGGGCAGATGAGACTTCTGTATAGGACAAGCAGTGTGGATTCAGAGACCTGATGTTTCTGGGTGGCTTTCCCCATTTTTCTTTGTTTTCCCTTATGTTGTGTGTCTTCCTGAAGAAGTCATGTGTGCTGGACTGTGCTGAGGATTGCCCAAAGTTGTGAACATAGAGAACTTGAAGAGTCTGGGCAGTGATGACTTGGGTCATCAGGTCATGAGATTGGCAGTAGTTGCATCTTTGACCACACCCTTTGAGCTCTTCCTAGCTTTTTTTTTTAAATTCTATTTCATTTCATTTTAAGTTCCAAATTCTCTCCCTCCCCTTCCCCACTATTGAGAAGGCAAAAAATACAAAACCCATTAGAAATATGAAGTCATGCAAAACAAATGTCTGCATTAGCCATTTTCTGAAAAAAAAAGCAAGAAAAAGAAAAAGGAAAGAAAAAAATATGCTTCAAACTATATTCTACCTGTAAGTGGATAGCATTTTTTATCATAAGTCCTTTGGAATTATAAAGGGTTATTGCATTGATGAAAATTACTAAGTATTTCACAGTTGATTATGTTTGCACTATTCCTGTTACTATGTAGATTGTACTCCCGATTCTGCTCACAACACTTTGCATAAGTTCAGATGAGTCTTCCCAGGTTTTCCTAATACCGTCTTCTTTAATCATTTCCCCTGCTTTTTAAAGTAAGTCTATATCAAAGGGCATGCGACCCTGATAGTATAAGGTGGGAAAGCACCCACTGCTTTACTTATATGCTATCATACTCATCATACAAAAGGATGCCTATCATACAAAAATCCATGCTTGGGACACTGTCCAATAGGAGGTTGTCTGTCCCTTCTAAAATTCTCAGATTTTGCCTAATATTTTTCCACCTAGGAACAAAGTTTCTACTATTATCTAAGGGAAATTTAGGAATAGGTAAGACTATGCTGCTTTAGCCACAGCAGGACACCGTGAGGCAGAGATAGAGAAAGCTTTCCAGCATCCTCAAGGTCCAGGGAGTTGAGAGGGATGGTGAGGCTCTGACCAGTGCAGGGGGAGAATCTGGTGGAGAAACTAGCTCTTCTCAGGGGCCAGGTGTGAAAAGGTCCATGCTTAGGGGACTGAACAATGAGATCTGGAAGTGAGGGAATCCCTAATGGAGCAATTTTCCTCAGTAGACTAGGCTGGACACTATAACCAAGCTGTGTCCCTGCAATTATTGACCTGCACACTAACGCTGATAGTACCTTACCCTGGTCATTAGCACTGAATGACAAGCTGAGGATAACACAGAGGACATATGGGGTGAAGGCCATGGTCCCAAGATCTCAGATGGAAGAAGCAGAAGCCCCTGTCAGTGCTTGTTTGTGTCCACAGACAAGCATTGAAAAAAGCAAGAGGCTCCCCAGTTTTCTTCCCCTGTATTTCCCCAGGATTCTGGGCGAGCGGCTGCCTTCATGTGAAGGATCTGGGAAGATCCTGGAGCAATTGTTATCTCCTACCCCAGTCCCAACACACAAAGCTCTAGCCTTGCAGCAAACCTTAGAGTCCTCTGGGAAAGTACTCATTGTATCACAAATCTGGAGCAAGATGAGATCTCAGAGACTATCTAACCTGTTGCTTTCTACCATTTCACAGGCAAGAAAACTGAGGCTCTGGGAGGTGAAATGATTTGCTCCTATGTAAACACATAGTATATAGCAGAAGCAGGCTTTGAACTCAGATCTTGTTACTCTAAATTCAATGCTCTTTCTGCTGCTCACTCCTTTCTTCCCTATAGCTTCCCTCTCAGCACCTGCTTGATAGTAGAGACAGCCCTGGATTTGGTACTAGAAGGTCTAAATTCACAACCTGACTCTGTTGGGCGCTTTAAGCCTTAGTGTCCCCCTTTGTAAAAGGCGAATAACGTATACCTCGCAGGGTTTTGGGAAGGACAGCACCAAATAGATTGTAAAGGTCTATAGAAAGGTAAGGCTAGCTAGCTGTTACTCATAGGTGATCTCAAAGGCCCCTTCAGCTCCTCCCTCCACCAGTGTCCTCAGGTCTCCCTCCCTCGGGTCCTTCCTAGGGAGGTCAGCACCCACGGGGTGTCCCTGGATGGTTCTCACCTCTCACAAATACGTAGGTGCTCACTGCAGTGGTGCCCTCGATTCGGGCCTTGATGTATTTGTAGTAGCAGGTATAGGAGCCCGTGTCATTGGCCTGGGTCCTGTTCAGCACTAGCACCTTGCAGTAGGGCCGGCTGTCAGTACCCTCGCAGTCTTGTTCAGCTCCAGCCTCGGCTGGCCCCCCAGCTTTGCTCTCCTTGTCACCTTGTCTGGGCTCCTCCCAGCCCTGGGGCCACGCCCACTCCAGGGGGTGCTGTCCTCTGGCAGAGGGAGAAGGGGAAAAGAGAGGAGGTATGGCTGTGTTGTGACAAGAACCATTCCTAGACCCAACTTCCTTAGGGTAGAGGGGATGGGAAGGGCAGAGAAGGGGAGTGAAGAGGGGAGACATAAAGGTGAGGGACTAGGCACCCTGGCAAAGGGGCTAAGGAAAAGAGAGTCCTGGCACTTACCTGAGGAGACCAGAGGCCTAAGCCATGGTTGGCAATGCCGAGCCTGGCCTGGGTGCCCTGCTCTGCTAGGCAGGGGAGTTCTTTGCAGAACGGGGGAGTGAGAGTTTCAAAATTCTCAGGCAGCTCTAAAGCCTTGGAAGGGGCCAATTGTATACCTGATGAAAGTCTTTGGGGTCAGAGACTTCTAAGCCAGATGAATGGGGAGTAGGAACTCCAGAAGCGTAAAACTTGTCAAATTGTTAACAAATTGGCTTTCCTGGACCAGGCCAACAGACATGGCCTGGGGACCAAAGGTGGTCTATGAGATGCTAAGTAAGACATTTTCCCCTCCTGACTCCCTGAGGATGATGGAGAAGCCTGGCTTCTCCTGCAAGGTTAGGGCCTGCTAGCTGGAGTACCCATTCACTTGGGCTCTGGGTGGTAAAGTTTTCTTTGTGTAGAAAGGAAACACCTGAAGTGCAGATAGGGAGCCTAGGTGCCTTCTGAGAGACAGGTGACAGACTTCAGCACTTTGTACATCCATCCCTCCATCCCACCCCCCATTAGTAGGTGAGTAACTCTATCTCCTCCACTGGGACTATGAGGTGGTGGAGAAACATTGTACAGTTGTATTTCTCTAAGGGGTGTGTGTGCGTGCTAATTAGCAGTAGTCTAGGGTAGCAAAAGGAGGGGACAGGGACTGGGAGGGGAGAGGGGTTCGGGGAAGAAGCTAAGTGTTATTCAAAAGTAGAATGGCCTGCCTTGAGAGATCATGGGTTCCCCCCTCACTTGAAGCCTTCAAAGTTAGCGGACCATTTGACAAGCATGTTACAGATGGAATTTTGGCCATTAAGGCTCCTTGTAAGTCTGAAATCTTGTGAAGGTCATTAGGGTCAAGCATTACTGGGACTGGAGTAAACTAAGGGAGGGACCCAAGAGACCCCTTAGCACAACCCTCATTTTACAGAGGAGGAAACTGATGCCTTAAGGCCCACTGGAATTGGAACCCCACACTCTTTCCAGGGCACCACTCTGCTTCCCACAGGAGCGAAGATCGAAGGCGATCACTTACTTCCCTGACTCCTTAACCTTGGTTATTCTACAGCTTTCTCAAGTTTGTCAGGAAAATCTTGAAAAACGCTCAACAGTCAACCAAACATTTATCAAGCACCTACTATGTATGTCAGGCATTGTACTAAACTCTGGGATGAAAAAAAGGCAAAAGATAGTCCCTGGCCTCAAGCAGTTTACCATCTGGGCTGTGATTCTTCCAGGCTTGGGCATGGGTGAAGGTGGAAGAGGGAGGAGGGAGGCTGAGCAAGGCAGAGAAAGCTGGGAGGCCAGGGGCGCAATCCCAAAGGCAACAGGGAAGAGGAAAACCTATTGGTATGAGTAAAAGTAGGCAGCTGCTTCAAGGAAACAAGATGGCCATTCCCTGGGGCTAGAGAAGGCAAGAAAGTGCCCAGGGATAGCCATCTCCAGGAAGCAGCCAGGAGAAAGATATGGAGAGAGGATTTCACTTCGGATCTTTCCTTTGCATTCAGAGCCTTATATAATTTTAGTCCTTACACAATCTGATAAAATATATCTTTTCATATCTATCAATCAACAAACACTTATTAAGGCTTGGCTCTGTGTCAGGCATTGTCCTAGGCATTAGAGATACAAAGACAAAAGTGGAATGCTCCTTGTCCTCAAGAAGGTTACATTCTATCAGCAAACAGCATGTACATAAAGGTATAGAGAATAAGTACAAAATAAATGAGATAGTTTAAAGGAGGGATCAACTAGCATTTGGGGAGACCAGGAGAGGCTTCTTGTAGAAGGTAAAGTTTGAGCTGAATCCGGAAGGAACGAAGTGATTCTATGAGGCAGAGGTGAGGAGGAAGTGCAGGCCAGGTGGCAACCACCACTGCAAAGGCAGGAGACGGACTGTCATGTGGGAGGGCAGCAAGAAGGCCAGTTTGGCTGCATTGTAGAAGGCAAGAAGGGAAGTAATGTGTATTAAGCCTAGAAAGGTAGGTTGGAACCAGGTCAGGAAGGGCTTTAAAAGTCAAACAATGGCATATTGTATACCATTCTTCATTGTATACTAAATTGGACCACCTTCTGTTCCCTGAAATTTCCCACCTCTGTTCCTTTGCTCACATTCCTTATACCTTTTCCCAACCTGGCGTTTAAAGCCCAATTTAAATGACCCTTCCTCCTTCAATCCTTTTTGTGTGTGTGTGTGTGTGTGAGGCAACTGGGGTTAAGTGACTAGCCCAGAGTCATACAGCTAGTGAGTATTATGTGTCTGAGGCTATATTTGAACTCAGGTCCTCCTGACTGCAAGGCTGGTGCTCTATCCACTGCACCACCTAGCTGCCCCTCTCAATCCTTTTTGTCAGTAACCATCTTCCCCCAGGATGGCAAATGCCATGTCATTATAGTCTCTGAAGTACTTATGGGTTTATTTGGACCAAATCCATGATTTCATTGGTATAAGGAACTTTCCTATGTAGATAGGCCCCTTCCCTGTAGCATATAATTTTAGAGAGCAGCCTGGGGAAACAGGGGATAAGTGACGCTCAGGGTCATATAGCCAGGGTATTTCGGAGGTAGCACCTGGACCAGTCTAAGGTTGGCTCTTCATTTCACTATAAGATGCTGTCTACTTATGATGTAATGCTATGTTTTATAGTGGTCTGTGTTTACATCTTATCTCCCCCACTAAACACTATTCAATGGACAGGTAGGACCATGTTTTATCTAAACTCTGTACATCCCCTAGCAGTAAATTCTTCCCTTAACAAACTGTTCTACACCCAGTACATGTTTAACATATTGAATTATAATTTGTATTATATTTGTCTATGTCTATGCCATATCCTCCCAGTGAGCTCCCAGGGGACAGAGATCATATCTTCTTTATCTTTTGTCTCTCCTAGTCTAGTGCCCAGAATAGGGTCTAATAGTTGCTGAATGAATGATGCACTGGGGGAAAGAATTTCTTTCTGAAAGATACCTGCCCATGAGGAATCAATCAAATAATCAATCTACAAGCTTTGATTAAGTGCCTAATATATACCAGGCACTACGATAGGCTCTGGAGATACAAAGACAGAAGTTAATTGGTCCCTGTCCTTAAGGAGCTTACATTCTATGGGGGGGGAGGTGAGTAGGAATCACATGTACCTATATGGGTCAATACAAAATAAATAAAAGATATTTTGGTGGAAAAGGCACCAGCAGCTGGGGGGGGGGTCAGGAAAGGTCTTGTGTAGTATTGAGGGGAGATTAGATTGAAAGGACACTAAATTATAGGTGGCACAGGAATACTTTAGGACTACAGGGAGGTAGAAAGTCCACGAGAGGGAGGTTGGTGGGGTTCTACTGAAGGGCATCTAAGAAACCTGCCCCCAAGGCTTTCACTGCCTCAGAGGGAAGGGACCCCTTCAGAACAGAGAGCGACAGAATCCTCAAGAAACATACAGCTTCTGTCTAGTCTCGTGCCTGAACAATTTCCTGAAATTAGAGATCTCCTGTGAGGTTACATTTGATAGACTATCGGCTCATTGAGGGCAGGGATTGGTTTCATTTGCTCTGCATCCCTGGCACCTAATAAATGCTGGTTCAATGTGGGATGAAAATTGAGGAAAGACGATCTATTCTGTCTCCAGAGGGATGGCTCACAGCACATTTAAATGCATCCCAGAGTAGGATCAGCTAGTGAAATGACTGACTGCCAGACCTGTAATATTCCCCTAGAAGTCACCTTGTGAGGAACATCTCAGAGAAGGCAGAGCAGGGAGTGATTTAACTCTGTGTTGTTTGTTCCTGTTGTGCAGTCATGCCTGACTCTTCATGACCCCATTTGGGTTTTCTTGGCAGAGATACAAGAGTGGTTTGCCATTGCCTTCTCCAGCTCATTTTATGGATAAGGAAACTGAGGCAACCAGGGTGAAGTGACTTGCCCAGGGTCACACAGCTAGTAAGTGTCTGAGGCTGGATTTGAACTCAGGAATAGGAATCTTCCTGATTCCAGGCCCAGCACTCTGTGCACGGTGGCGCCACCTAGCTGAGTTATTTAACCACGCCTTAATCCCCTCCACATATCGTCCATATGTTCTTGCTGTTCCTCTCACACAAAACCCATCTCTGACCCTTTTCACTGGCTGTCCCCTATGCCTGGAACTCTCCTTCTCCACCTCCTGTTTCAAGTTTCAAATCAAAGGTGCAGCTAGGCGGCACAGTGGATAGAGCACTGGCCCTGAAGTCAGGAAGACCTGAGTTCAAATACAGCCTCAGACCAAACACTTGACACTTACTAGATGTGTGACCTTGGGCAAGTCACTTAACCCCAACTGCCCCCCCCCAAAGTTTCAAATCAAGTCTCACCTTCTGTGAGAAGCCTTTCCCAATCCCCCTTCACACTAATGCTTCCTTCCCCTCTATTGTCTCCAATTTATCTTTTGTATATATCTCATTTGTGTATAGTTATTTGCATGTTGTCTCTCCCATTAGAATGTGAGCTCCTTGAGAGCTGGGACCTTTTTGCCGCATTTGAACTCGGATCCTCCTGAATCCAGGGCCACTGCTCTATCCATTGAGCCATCTAGCTGCCCCCTCTCATATGTGAAAGGAGGGGGTTGAGTTTGATGGCTTCTAAGGTCCTTCCCAGCTCTAGACCCAGGATCCGATGGTCATACGGCACAGTGGCAAAGATAGCTGTGGGTAGGGAGAAGTTGGTCCAGCCTCCAAATAACTCCCAGATGGGGGTTGGGAGGGAGCAGGAAAGATGGGCCTGGACACAGGGACACAGGCCATGGCAGCTGTGGTGGAGGGGTCTAAGGCAGGGGTGGGGAGCCACATGGGACTCTCTAGGTCCTCAGTGCAGCTCTTTGACTGAATCCAAACTTCACAGAACAAATCACTGGTACAGCTTGGGGTCACAGATCACAGATTTAGAGCTGGAAGAGACCACAAAGGTCCATCCAGTTCAGTTCTTCATTTTATTGATGAACAATTGGGATTGGCAGTAAATGCCAGAGCTAGGACTTGAACCTTAGCTGTTTGATTCCAAAGCCAGCAGTCTTTTCCCTGAACCACGTCACAATCCTTGCCCTCAGTGCCTACCTATGTTAGCCTGTGTTAGAAGGAAGTCTGTCTGGAGGGACAGAAGGTCTTAGAGACTCCTGGCCTGTGCAGCAGAGAGTTCATGAATGCAGCCAGGTTGGGAGCTCGGGAAAGGTTTAGAGGGCCCAGCTCCATTTCCAATTCCATGAGCTCCAGCGGTATCATTTCTATGAGAATCTGGAGGCTTTGGCCACTTTACACCTTTCTTTCTGTTAGTTTCAGCCCACTTTGTTTCTCCTTAGCAGAAGTAGTTTTGATTATGTGTAGGAAAAGGGGCCTACCCTGGGAACCTTCACCTCATCCAACACAGGGGGTCAGGGATGGCTCAGCAGGTGGTGGCTGGCTGAGTGGGAGCCATTTCCCTGGAAGACAAGAGGATGGGGTATTTCTCCGAGGAGATAGCCTGAGAGGCTGAGGACCTCCCCCAGGAGGTCCAGATGCTCATCTCTGCCTGAGGCCACACCAACATTAATCTCTCCATGGAAGCTCAATCCTGAGATTCCCCTTCCCCATGCCTCAAGATTCCCAACCACCTTGCTCTGGTGACATCCAGCCTTCCTGCTTCATGGAGATGGGAAGTGGTCAGGATGATTGGGCCTGAACTCTCGGGAGAGTCTTTACCTGCAGGTGATGGCCAGGGTATCCTGGGCGTCAATCACAAGCTCTTCTTCTGTGATATTCAGGGTCGGAGGAGTCATAGAATAGGTGCTGACAAGGCCTGGGGGTAAGGGGTGCGGGAGGTGGAGAAAAGGAGAAAGGGAAGGTCAGCTTGAGGCTCAGACTGGGAGATCATAACTTCATGGAATTTAGATTAGGAAGAACCTAGAAGATCATTTGATCCAGAGGTGTCAAATATGTGACCCACTCACAACATTACTGGCCCAAACCAGATTAAAATGCAATTGGTAAATATTTAACAAAATAAATAAAATACAATAAAACATTGATAATGTAACCTTTTAAAGCTAAGTCAACATGTGGACCACAGACATCCTTGCCTATGCTTTAGTGGCCACTGTTTTTGAGTTTGAGACCACTGATTTAATCTAATTCCCTAATTTTGCAGGGGGAGCAGGGCTTGGTCAGGGCTCTGTCATTTCATCAGCATAGGGTCTCTCTCCACCTTCACTCCACCCTGACCCATGGATGCAGATCTGAAAATCGTTATCTTAAAGAGTTGCCTGGGACATGAAGGGTTAAGGGACTTGCCAGGGTCACTCAGTCATTATGTGCTAAAGGCAGGAACTGAACCCAGGTCTTTCCTGACTTCAAGATAAGTTCTATTCATTTTATGACGCTATCTCTCCCCTAACTGAATGAATGAAACTGTGGGTCTCAGAGCTTCAGAGACTTGCCCAAAGTCAGGTAATAAGCAGCAAAACTGGAATCTGAACCCAGAGGTGGCATCCATTTCTGCTCTGAATGACCTCACAGAGGGCACCCCCAGTGGCTGGCCAGTATCACATCTACTTTTTTTGGGGGATGCAATTGGGGTTAAGTGACTTGTCCAGGGTCACACAGATAGTAAATGTCTGAGGCCACATCTGAACTCGGGTCTTCCTGACTCCAGGCACAGCGCCACCTAGCTGCCCCTCTTATCCACTTTTTTCAAAGGACTCTGGTTCCATCAGTGTTTAGAGGTCATTTAGTGTTAAAGAAGTAAAGGCTCATTACACATGAAGGTAATGATGAGGATAGCTGACATTTATATTTATATAGCTTTAGTGCCATCAAAGCCATTTCCATATTTTATATGCTTTGCCTTTCACAATAACTCTGTGAGGTAGGTGCCCTTATCATTTCTATTTTATAGATGAGAAAACTGGGTGAAAGAGTGACTTTTCCAAGGTTATATACAGTGTCTGAGCTAGAATTCAAACTCAAGTCTTTCCGACTCACAAGTTCAGCCCTCTATGTACTTCTCACTGCCTCTCAGACTGACTAGGAACCCAGTCACAAACTGACCCCACACTCCAATGACAAGACAGACTCCCTGGACCCAGCCACATGCTGACCTCTAATTATCCTCCTGCCTCCCCTAGAGCTCAGCAGGTAGAGATAATGAAAAATGAAGATGAGTGACTGACGCCTATCAGAAGAAACAGATCTGCCTATGCCTTTCCTATCCAGCCCTGAGGGAGGATGGGGGCAGGCTGCGGGGTGTAGGAATGGGGTAAGTGTCACCTCTCAGTGACACTCCCAAGTCATCAGGTTCTGATGGATAGACATGGACATGTCACAATACTGACATCTGGAACCATGCTGTTGTTAGCCTCAGTTACCATCATCAGAAAGACACAGCTGTCATCTCACTAGGCCACCTGACCATTGCATGTGTTCCCTGCTTTTTTTGGTCTTCATAACTTCCCTGATGTACCCCTCAATCCGCACCCTCAGAATGACAGAATTAGGTTTTCAGAGTTGGAGGGAAACTTCTCATTTTCTTCTTTCTCCCTCCCTCTCTCCTTCCCTCCCTCTCTTCCTCTTTTCTTCCCTCCCTTCCTTCCTTCATTTCCTCCCTCCTTCTTCCCTTCCTTCTTTCCTTCCTTCCTTCTCTCCCTCCCTCCCTTCCTTGCCTTCTATTCTTGTCCTTATCTCCCCTCTCTTCCTTTCCTCTCTCCCTTTCTGCAATCTGTGTTTGATCCCACCACTCTACGGAAACATTCTTCAAAGTTACTACTGAGCTCTTAAAGCCTCAGTCTGACAATCTTTTCTCATCCCCCATTCTCGTTTATCTCTGCAGCTTTTGATGCAGTTGATTACCCCCTGCTGGATTCTTTTCCTTTACTTAGCTTCTGTGACACTGCTTTCTTCTCTTACACATCCTTCTTCTTCAACCATGTTCAGTGTCTTTTGCTGATTCTTTATCCTCTTGCATGAGTAACACCCAAGGGTCTCTTTTATGTACCCTTCTCTTTTGTCTAGAAGTCTTCCTTGGCCATTATTCCATTACCTCCTTGGAGACGGCTCTAAAATCTGTAAGTCCAACCTCAATTTCCCCTGAGCTCCAATTCTCCATCTGTACTTGGATGTCCTACCTGTACCTCAAGCTCATTATGTCAAAAACTAGACTCATGTTCTTTGCTCCAAACCTGTCCTTCCTCCTAATTTTCCTGCTGCTGTTCATGGTACCAATAAGTTTCCAATCCCTCCAGGTCAAGACCTTGAGTTCTCCTTGACTCTTCCCTCTCCTTCACCTTCCACATCCAATCAGTTTATCAAGTCCAATCCATATAACCTCCCCATCTCCTCCATCTGTTCCCTTCTTTCTGTTCACATGGTCATATCTACTGCTTCAGGGCTTATTACTTCACACCTAGATTACTATAAGTATTCCTGACTCCCAACTCTTTCCTCTTCAATTCATCCAACAAGGAGAATAATCTGCCAGAATAATCTTTCTAAAACATAGCTGGGGCTACATCAGTCCTCTGAAGAGGAGGAGGAAATTGGCTGGCTTGCCTTTGGGAATTGACAAAGTACTTTTAAAGACCCAAGCCTTCTCCCCGAAAAAAAGGCCAATTTTTACATTTTTAAGCATCAAGTCTTCCAGTGATGTTGTATCGATACAAGTAGATGCCACAAACTCTGGAGCATTCCAATAGCAACATTTTAATTTTGGGGGTTAAAAAATTTTTCATTCTAATTGTGGGGGACAACACGTATAGGGAAAGTTAAGCTGGCAAGCAGACGTAAAGGCCCCGTGGCCCAAAGGGTTCAACAACAAAGGCAAATGTTAAGGTCCAATGGTCCTTGGGATCTGGTGGCAGGGCAGATGTTTAGGTATAGTGGTCCTCCTTCTCATGGGAAGGATTGTGGTTGGTAACCCTCCCCCCCCCCCCCACAAATTTGGGTAGGAGGAATAGCACAGAAAATACCATCAAGGAAATGCATTACCAGAAAAGGAGGTGAGGCAGCCCATCACAAGGGTGAGGGATAACCAGTGGATGACTGTGCACTCCACTGGCCTCCCCTCAATGTCAAGAGATCTTAGGAAAGGGTTAGCACACTGGGTGGGCCCCCAGTGGTGGATTTATGGGAGGAAATGGACAAGTCACACAGGATGAAAAGGCGTGGATGGATTTCAACTGGCGCTGGTAGAAGGATGAGATCACATGTTCATTGAAGTACTAAGGCTCCCCTTGCCTACACAAATACAAAATCCTCAGCCTGACATTTCAATCTCTTCACAAACTGGCTCCAATCTACCTTTGCAGTCTTATTTCACCTAAGTCTTCTTTATGCCCTCAGCCAAGCTGGACTATTGGCTGGTCTAATTTCATTCTTCCAATCACAGATTTGGAGTTGGAAGGAATCTTAGAAGGTGTGGACAAGTGGCTGTCCTTTCTTCCCTCAGTGCATTCACTCGGGTTTGTTCCCCAAGCCTAGAACACTGCCCTTCCATAATTCTGCCTACTGAAGTCCTCAGCTTCCTTGAGAGTTCCTGGCAATCTCATTCGCTCTCATCTGAGCCTCTATGGCCGAGGTGTCAAGCTCCCCAGTATGGGCCTGAACCACATTAAAATGTAATTGAGGAATATTTAACAAAATAAATAAGCATACAACAAGACAAAGATAACATTACATTTTACAACTATGTCCATAGGCAGCCTATGGGAATCCTTACGTATAGATGAGTGAATCCATTTCTATTTGAGTTTGACCCCACTGCTCTATAGGAAGCCTTCCTGGATACATACCATCTAGCTGAAAGAGATATCTCCCTTCTTAAGTTTCTTAGAGCACTTTGCTTGGGCTGTTTTTGCTTTTCCTTTGTATCACTAGAACTTAGCAGAGTGCCTAGAAAAGAGTGAGTGCTTAATAAATGCTGGTTGATTGATTCTCTTTTACCCTTATCACTTTCTGTCTTGTATTATGCTTATTTGAGCACCTATTTTATCCCTTCTATTAGACTGTCAGCCCCCTGAGAGCAGGGGCTATATAATTTTCCATCTTGGTATCCCCAGCCCTAGCATAGTATCTTGCACAGAGTAGGGACTTAATAAATGTTTGAAATGAATTAGACATCAAGTCCAACCTCCTACCCAGTACAAAACTACACTCTATATCCTCCTGAAAAGACTTGTCTAATTTCTGCTCAAATTCTTCCAGAGACAGGGAATTGACTACCTTACAAAAGCAACCCACCCCACTGCTGAAAAGCTTTAATTTGGGGGGAAATTTGTCCTATCACTAGTGGAAATCTACCTTCCTATAATTTCCCTCCATGGCTTTAGTTTTGCTAGTTTGGACCAAGCATAATAAACTAAGTTTCTCTTCCACATGAAGCCATGGTGTTTCCAGGAGAGAAGCTAGGCAGCTTAAGGGTATGTCTGGGATCCCTAATTCTTCTCTGCCTCTGTCTCTGCCACCCCCACCCCACAACTTTTCATTCAATAGATGCTAGTGCAAGCACCCACGTTGATAGTAAGTATCTCAGGACAGATTTGAGCTCGCAGAGATGACTCTTCCTGACTCCTGCTGGGGCCACCTTGAGAACCCAGGCTCTCAAGGGCCAACTGTTAAATTTTCAGTGTGAGCGTTTACACTTTGGAAATCAGCAAATGTTGCAAATCAAGGTTTGGGTTATTGTTTTGTTAATGGTCATGATTTAAGAAAGTGATGGGGAAAATGTTAATAATTTGGATTAAGCTTAAACGTATGACACACATACACTTTTTTTTTTCCCAGAGAGATGGTTGTTAAGCATTTATGAAC